TTTACTTTGAGCCCCTAGTACAGTCCTGCACCAACAGGGATAGAATCACATGCATCTTTTTATGATACATGTAGCTCCTCAAAAATTGTCACTTTGGCTTTACTAGAAGAAGGGGAAGAAAGGGAAGGAGGGAGAGAGGGAGGGAGGGAAGGAGGGAGGGGAGATAGATAGATGATAGATAGATAGATAGATAGATAGATAGATAGATAGATAGATAGATCGATCTATCCAGGTTGCAATGCCGATAAATTTGCTCTGCTAGAGAAAGGAAAATTTACAGCGTAGTGTAATGTACAATAGGGCTTTTCTCAGAGCCTGTGAGTCTAGTTTAATCATTTTGTTCTGCCAAATTCAGATCATAGACTGTAGAACATAGTATAGGTTCTTATAATTAAGATTCTTCAACAAAGCACATAGATAATTCTTAGTGAAAGATTGTGTGGCCTAAGCTATTCATTTACTCAACAAATATTCAATTGAGCAATGGCTATGTCGGGCAATATACAGTATTAATTTTCTTCCATTTTTAACATGGAAGACAGCTCTAACCTAATTTTTTAAAAATGTCAAGAACACTGTTACTTATCCAAGTGCAAATTCTACAGAAAAGTAAAGATGATGAGTTCATATTAAACAGACCTAGTCAATCTTTTCTTAAGTAAGCACTCTTTTCCGATATACGCCTGTTTGACAAATATAGCACATATGCTCATTTACTCAAACCAAGAAAACTGGTTTGTTCAGTTTTTTAAATATTCCACTGGTTCTTTGTGAATTGTCTGGCTAAGGGAAAATAAGAGCTGTTGGCGCTGGAGAAAGGAAACAAAAACACTGGAGGGGACCCTGAGGCAGGTGTCTTTGCTTTCTTTCTCAAAGGGCACTTCTTTTGCCTCCTTAACTTCTTTCCTGAGTCCATGCAGCCCAGCTGGCTCACTTCTTTTGCCTGTGACTTTCTTCCTAAAGGGCCAAGGCAGCCACGCCTAGGTTCACTCCTGTTGCTATGATCTTGCCTCTTCCATCGGAAGCCCGCCTTTTTGCTTCACTGTCCCCAGCTTTTAACAAGCATACTTTAAAAATCACCTGGACTCCTATTGTGAAATCTTTCCTGCAAGGAACTCAAGAACTGGGCCATCAACATAACTATGTTACTAAAGTAACACCAAGCAAGGTGATATATTAACAGGATTAGGCAAATTAAAATGTTCTATCCTTGACTCAGCCGTTTAAGTATTCATAGTTGGCACTAAAAGAGAGGGCATTATCAACCAACTTCAAGATCTACCAATCATCTTCAGAGAAATCAGGAATTCTTTGTAAAGAACCAGATAAAAACTAAACGTGGTAAATTTGTTCAGCCTTTCTGAAGGGCAGGATGGCACTGCATATTAAAGAACTTAAAACTGCATACATTCTATGATTAATAATTCTGCTTCTAGGACTTTATCCTGAGGAAGTAATAATAGATGCACAAGATTATTCTACAAGGATTTCCATAGAAGTGAAAAATTTGAAACAACCTTCATATCCAACAATTTGAGATTGATAAATAAGTAAAAAGTCCATCTGTCTGAGAGAATGTTTTGCCATTAAAATGAAATGGAGAAGAAGCATATCTAATTTTTCTGCATCTGTGATATTCATATGTGCTATATACTCTTCTCGGTGACTTCCCTTAATACCCACAGAAATGGGGCAAAAGAGGGGAGATACAAAGATGTGTTTATATCCTTCAGAGAGTGAACAGGCTGTTCAGCCATCACATAGCAAAGAAGACAGTCCAAAACCCAGGTAGTCAGATCCACATCTTGGAGTTCTAGCAAAGTGGTATCATCGGTTACGATGTCATTTGGGTGCACAGTACGGAGGCCACGTGGGAATGAACCGATTCTTGGTCTGGGAGTTAGAGGTGTGGAGACTGAGGAACACCTTGAAAGTCTGGAGCAGCTCCCTGATGGAGGAGAGAGGCTGGGAAGGAGATGACTGAACAACATGGTGGGCTGGCGATAGGACCCGTGAATTTCCAATAACGCCCATTCACATTGTTAAGTGTAGCACTTAATTAACATACCCATTAAAGCCAAAGAAGAAGCCACTCTGGCTGGTTTGTCTACCCTTCTAACTAGAAGTACCTTTGTCTACCAGAGCTAACGTCCTGGGGTCTGAGCTTCACATCCTAATTGAAATTAATCCTGACTGGTGTTGAGGACACAGAGGACAGTCATGGATCCTGCTTCTGACCTGCTAGGGAGGCCGTGTGGGTGGCCCCTTGCACAGGCCCAGGGTGAGTCATCTCCTCGGAAGGAGAGGAAGTCAGAGTGTGCCGCCTGCTCAGGACACCTGCCACTTTCACTGGACAGATGTGGGTTTGAGGCTAACAAGTGTTAATAGTCTGTGGCTTCTCTGTCAGGATTCTCTCTGGCAATGACAGAAATGAGCTCACATTTAAGCAGGCAGGGAGTTTTAGAGAGCTCACGGATCCTGAAGGGTCAGGCAGACAAGCCTGGAGACTAGGCAGCCAGAAACAGTGTCCTGAATCCAACAGCAGAGCCAGGATGGGAGAAAATGCGAGGCCACCAGGACCTGAGCGATGGCTGGCACCACAGAACTGGCATTTGCTCTCCCGACCTACCACCCACAGTAGTTTCTGCTTGGCCCTGACGTCTTTGTGTTGCTAGCCTCTGAGGTGGTCCCATCAATAAGGCCTCGCTCATGTGTCAGTAACTGAGCTCCACGGGAGACAAGGACCCTCGTGTCTGAGTTTTCATCTACTGTCGTGGACGTGGGCTCTGGCAGGAGCTGAAATGTCAGGTGGCCGTAGAGAATGACAGCTGTCCGTCGCAGTGCCCTGAAACGCACGCAGACATGTTTTAGTTTCCCTGCATCAGGAGACTAGCCACTGGACAGCTTCTCTGTAGTTCCCCTGTGGCAGACTACTTTAAATTCTTTGAATCTCTTAGGATGCTCTCAGAAAATGCTTGTAGAATGAATTAATAAGTGCTGTTGAGTATGTTCTTTCAACTGTCATGTTTTGGGCATATGCTCTGGGACAACTATGCTGAACATTCACCACAGGACCAAAAATGCATTGACGCAATAGCAAAGGCAGAAATGGGAACGGGGAGTGGCTCCCATGCCAGAATCAAACTGAAAGAATTAGGATCCAGAGAAGAAACTCGGCCTCAGTACGAAGCAGGATGAGCCTGAGCCCACTTTCCAAGTGGAGGCTGGGATATGGCAGGGCAGGGGCAGAGGGGGCTGAAAGTCTTGGCAGGGGGAATCGAAGAGAGGGTGGTGGGGGTGGGAGGCAGGCATGCTGGGAGCCCCATGGAAAAGCTGCACTTCAAGGTCTCATTCATCTGACAGGGCGTTTCTGGGCAAGTTGTTTGTTTATGTGTAAGGGAGCTGCAGTACTTGCTGGTTTTTCTCTGAGTGACTATTGTAGGTTCAAACTGTAACAGGCAGTGAAATCTGTTACATTTGCAAAGCTCTGATACAGTGTCTGGCATGTTGTAGGTGCTATAGAGCCACTTATTAAATACATGAAAATAAAGCAATGTTCTGTTGCTGAAAATTGCGTGAAATGCTAGGGATTCCACCTTGGACTCACATTTAGCCAAATGCCAGGTGTGTTCTTTTCACCTTTGAGCTGTCAGTCTTTTTCCTACAGCATCTGCATTACATTCATTCAGTACTGCATGTTCGAGGCACTGTCTGGGTGTGTGTGCACACAGCAGCTCTGCCCACTCACAGCGGCAAACCATGAATGTGCTCCCTGGGCAAAGCGGCCTGACCACCATTCCCCCACTCCTATTTCCACCCCACCCCCAACCCCCACCCATTACCTCAGCCTGGCTCAGCGATTCTTCTCTATCTTAGCAGCTAAAGTTTAAAATAAAAATTTTAATCTAGATTTTTCAGTTTTCTCCAGTGGGAGACTTGGTCCAATTTACCTCCTGTGATTCCTAGAGATGGAAATTCTAGTTTATGTGGTTTAAATCATAGGATCTTCACGAGAACCTCAGAAGGAAACTGGGAAGGTGTTCTTCATTCTACAGACGAGAACACTGAGGCAAAGGGAGTTTGTTTTTTCTGAGGGCCAGAGAGCTGAATTTGAACACCGTCTGTTTTCAGAGCTTGTGTGCTTCACCCGTGTCCACTCGTTTTTCTCCTTTTCATAACGCAGTACAGTGCCTCCTCCTCAAAATCATTCTTCTAAAAGGTCTCTACCTTCACACACTTCCCTTACCACCCAGGACACAGTTCGGTAAAACCCTCGCCAGATAGGGAATTCAGTGTCATTAAACACAGTGCTATATTCTGTGTCTTTTCAAATGGCCACATTACATGGACAAATATTACCAATTAATTAGTTCCCTATTTTTATAGACTTAGATATTTTTTATAGCTTCAAAAACATTTTGGTCTTGGCAGAGAGAAAAATTCCTTTGTTTTGCCAAAGTTTTCTGTGTCTTATTGAATTTGGTCAAGGCATGCAGAGATGAAATACATATGTCTAAAATGGAGCCATTTGAATGTTCAGTATGGAAATAAAAATTTAAAAATATTAGAATATCAGATCTGGGCTATAACTGGTAAATGACATCAGTGAATAATGCTAAAAATAACCCTTCATTTTTGTGCAAAACCTTTTATAAGCCACTCAAAAAAAAGTCCTTGGAATTGTGCCCAAGTTAGAGATTTTTATGTACCTCTAATGGCTGAAAACCCATGGGAACAACCAGGGCTTTCCAGGATGCTGAGAGAATAACCAAGTGCACTCCACAGCACACTATCTGAGGGACCCAGCATCCTCAGGTCACCACGGCCAGAGCACCTTCTTCGCTTCTGTGCCATTTTAAGCAAATGTCTCTGCAGCAGGTTCAAACTGGTTTGTTGTTCATATTTTCTTTAAAAACAAAACAAACCAAAAAACCCAACACCTTTCTTTCTGGCCTTGGTAAAACTAAAGGCCTAACGTATTTTCCGGTTTCTTTTGACAGAGAAAGAGACGAGCGTATGAATCTAACCTCATCCATGATGGCCTGCACCTAGAAGCAACCAGATCGGTAAGTGGCAGGCCCTTTCCAACCCGTGGCAGACCCTGGATCTTGGGAACATGTGTGTTACTTGGAGTGCTGGCATGGCCTTTGCAACAACCCCAGCCATGCCTCACTTGTAGGCCGGGAGGGGAGTCAGTCAGAATCTGCATTATAGGGTGTGTGGTTCTGATCGAAGCCAGCAGTAAATGCATGGAACAATAAATACAGGTAGAAGTGATTGTTTTCTTTTAAGAATCTTTTTAAAGATTTTTTTTTTATTATACAAGTAATAGTATTTAAAAAAAGATTAGGGATAGTGAAAATAAAAATCATTTGTACCTTAATTATTCATAAATAACCTTATAGTTCTTCTAAACTTTTTGCTCAAATATATACATTTTTCTCTCCCAAAAAAATAAATTATTATATCACAGGGATTTAATTCACTTTTTTCCCTTTAATATATAGTAAATGCTTTCTATATCAATAAACATCCTTTATAATGACCCCATAACATGATATTGGACAGATATGTAATAAATTAAACAGTCCTCGCTTTAAGAAATTAAAAAATTGTTACTACAACATTGCAATGAATATTCTGGTGTTTTCATTTTTATTCACTAATTTGGATGGAGCGATGGACAAATTAATTTTTCTTCATTTAAAATATTAGGAATTTTATGAAAGAACTATGATAAGAATTTTAATTACTTTCCCAGTAACTCAAACCAAGATCTTTAAGGTAAAAAGTTTACAGTGGTTTGCAAATCTACCTTGTGGCGTATCTTCACTTTTACTAATGTCTGTGTGGGTATGCTCGTGTACACATGTGTTCTAGCTACCTAAGAAAAAGCTATGTGTTTGGTTTCCTGGATTGTGTTTTTATTCTCCCAATACAGGTCTTGGATGACAGGCTGGTGTTTGTGAAGATCCATGCCCCGTGGGAGGTGTTGTGTACATACGCGGAGTTGATGCACATCAAACTGCCCCTGAAACCCAACGATCTGAAGACCCGCTCTTCGGCCTTCGATAACTTCAACTGGCTCGGCAAAGTCCTCCAGGTGGATGAGAGCATCATCAAGCCAGAGCAGGAGTTTTTCACGGCCCCCTTCGAGAGGAGCCGGATGAATGATTTCTATATTCGTGACAAAGAGACCTTCTTTACCCCCGCCACCAGAAGCCGCATTGTAAGTCCAAACCAGGTTTACTGGCTATCTTGGGGTGATTTGCATCCCGCTGTTGAATAATTAGTGGTTGGGTTGGTTGGTTGTCCGAGTTTTGTGTTTAGAAACTGCTACACACCAAAGAGAAGAGAAGTATGCCTACCGATTCCCATTATGATCGTGAACCGTGATTGGTTAGTTACACTGTATAAACCACACACGCTGCTCTGAATCTTTTTTAGGTTTACTTCATCCTCTCTCGAATCAAGTATCAAGTAAGCGACAACGTTAAAAAGTTTGGAATTAACAAACTTGTGAGCTCCGGGATCTACAAGGCAGCATTCCCTCTCCACGATGTAAGTCAAATAGCAAAAATGAAATAAAATATCTACTGCAGTGTTAGTAGGGAAAGGCTAATCTTCTCAACGTTACTGAAATCTCTTTCTCAGTAAAATGAAGATGACACATGGAAAGATTACAAGCATATCCAGGACAGGAACCCAGTTGCATTGTTCATTGCTAAATCCTAGGTATAGAGAGGGCGCTCAGGTTAAATGAGTGTGTGAATGATGAGTGAACAAAGGGATAAATGAACATCAAGCAAGCAGTAGCTCTCCCTTAGTTAATGTGATCAACATTGTAGGTTAGTAGTTAAGAGCATGGACTCAGGGGCCAGAATGCCTGCTCCACCATTTTCTAGCTGGATGACCTTGTGCAAGTCATTTAGTCTCTCCTTTCCTCTATTTCTTCATCAATAAAATGGAAATAATAATAATAATAATATCTACCCCAGAGTTGTTTGTGAGGATTAGTCCATGTTAAATATTAGAACAGTTCCTGGCACATAATAAGTACTATATGTGTATTAGCTATTTTCATAATTTCTGACAGATGTTATCAACCAGAAAAGCATTAGTTCTTTGTAAGCAAAAACACATGTTAGAACCTTTCATTTATCGTTTTCTGTAACATGGGCGTTTCTCTCCTCTGAAATACCATTCCTCGTTGTGCCCTGGAATACCACGGGCTTCCAGAAAGGCTTCTGTCAGGGTTCTTGTCACAATGGCATATGGCAAAGGGCTGACATTTTTTTAAGGACTATGTTCTGATGTGACAGCAACTTCTCAAATCCAAGAGCACTTCTCTAGCCAATAGCATCTCACTCGAAATGAAATTTTTTAAATGTGACTGCTCAGACCCTTAGCGATTTCATAAATGCAAGGATATTATAGCTAAGCTCCTCAAATAAATTCTGCTATTGAAATAAATGAAATCCTATCTTATATGATACTATTACTTTGTCGTATTCACCATCAGTTTATCTGAATCTCTATGACCAAAGAAAGCAAACACTGAGATGGGTCATTGCTACTGTGTAGTACATGTATTAGTGGATGAGGTCAGCATTGGAATGCACCATATAAGGTAATGAGACTAGGACCCATGTGTAAATGGAGAACAGAAGGGCAGAGAAGCAGGTGCTGAGCTTCCTGGCTAAGAGACCCAGCACAGCAGACCAGCCATGCATTTTATATTTGTGCCCCAGCAAGATTAGCAATTGTAGCATGACATGAACTGAGGGGGTGGAAGGTACAACACTTGCAGAGAGCTCTCATGAATATAACCTGGGAGGCCAGGAGTCTCTAGTGTTCATTTAGCAACTGGCCATGTCCAGGTTTGTTTGTTTTTTCCTTTGAAGCTTCTTGCCATTGCAAAGGGGCCTTATCCAGGCTCAGGAGTGATCTCAGATGGTATTTGGAAGGGAGTGAGGTGGGTGGAGGTCAGGGTGACAATCCAGTTGCAGGAGGAAGGAAAGCCAGCCAGATGGGAAGAAGAGTGAGTGAATTTAAGCAGAGGCAGGAAGTTCTGTTTCTTGAGTAAGCTAAGTGTATATAACATGCTATCAAGCCTCTTTGTTATTTGCGTTCTCCATGTCACTGAATAGCTGTTGAATTGGGAAAAAAGAAGTCTGAGTTTTAGAACCAATCCTGTCACCGCCCAGCCAAGGCTCGGGCATCTGGGGAGTGGGCTGGGCCATCGGGTATCCTCCTGGGTGGCAGCTTTGGCACTAGAGTGCCCCAGTTTCCCGTAGTTTGTGACTGACCCACTCATAGGACGTGAGCATCCTCGAGGTTCCCACCAAGTACCTGATGTGTTTGTTCCCCAGGATTGTAATAACCAAGCATTTCTTGCCACCCACATTGGCAAATGGCCCTCAGGGGCTCAGTAATACCCATGGTTGAGAGTCACTAAAAATGACATGGTATTTTCATCCGCATTAGCAAATGAGGGCCTCTTATTCACCAATGACAGAAGCATTGACACCACGTTTAATAGACATGTCAGTGAGCACAGGGTGGTTGCGATGCTCACCTGTCTGATTCTGCTTCCCAGTGCAACTTCAGCTACCCGTCCGAGGACTTCACCTGCCCCAACGAGCGGTACCTCCTGTACAGGGAGTGGGCGCATCCTCGGAGCATCTACAAAAAGCAGCCCTTGGACCTTATCAGGTAAGGCAGTGGCTTTCAAGCAGTGTGCCACAGCACTCTTTAACATGCATGACCTGACTGTTTAGGGGAGGCACTGACCTCTTGTACTTTAGATTGCCAAATTAAAAAAAGATAAAAGCTGCCGAAACTGGTTTGGCTCAGTGGATAGAGCGTTGGCCTGAGGACCGAAAGGTCCCTGGTTCGATTCCGGTCAAGGGCATGTACCTTGGTTGCGGGCACATCCCGAGTAGGGGGTGTGCAAGAGGCAGCTGATCGATGTTTCTCTCGCATTGATGTTTCTAACTCTCTATTCCTCTCTCTTCCTCTCTGTAAAAAAAACAATAAAATATATAGTATATAAAAAAATAATTATTTAGAAAAGAAAAAAAAGATAGCCAACATAACAATAGCCACCCATTGCATATGCCCTGTCTTGAACTATACATATATAGGTCATATAATACGTTTGCATCTTTTTGGTGATGTTGCATAATAAGGTTATTGGTTAGTTAATTCTTGGTACCAGAAATCCTTATATACAAGTATAGCCTCTGATTTTTTTTTTTTTTTTTTAACAAGGTACCTAATTACTATTCTCGGAGAAATGTGTGAATTGTCTTTTTCCATTGCTAGTGGGAGTGGTGTTCTTGGGGTTCAAGTCCAAGGGCCTGTACATTGGTTGCGGTCACATCCCCAGTGAGTGTGTGCAGGAAGCAGTTGGTCAGTGTTTCTAGTTCTCTATCCCTCTCCCTTCCTCTCTGTAAAAAATCAATAAAATATATATATTTTTTTAATTAGCCTGCTGTATTTGGTCAGACATTTAATTAACTCACCCTTAATGCCTCAGCAGGGCCAGACCAAATGATTTTGAGGGCCTTCTATGGATTTAATCTTCATAGGCTTGCAGTGGCCAAGCCTTCTCTGGCCCATGACCTGCTCCCATGTGTAACTGACAGATAAATACCTTCCCTATGTCACCCAGACTTTGCTGGACACGCATCTGAACTGCAGCTTCCTGGTAAAGCTGCACAAGTGGCATGCCTTTGCTCCTTTCCTGAGATTCATAGCTTGATTAAATTACAGTAGTATCAGTCACTATTATCATTTTCTTCTGATCCCTGAGATACAATGCTGTGGACTCAAGGTTGCCCTTATGGCATCAAAATGTGACAACACTCAGAGTACCGCCAACCAGGCAAGTTCGCCTGGAACGCTGAGCTTTGTTGAGCAGAGCCTTTACTTAGGCATGCATGGTTGAGTCATCGCCCACATGACACTATCTCCAGCCCCATTCTCTCTCCAATGGTTGGACCAATCACGTGGCTGAAAGCCCCAACCCTCTCTTCACACAGTTGGTGTTTCTGGCATGGTGAGCCCCCTTCCTAAGTCAGATCATTAGCACAAACTCCTTAGGGGGTCACCATGAAGTGTACACTTCCTTTTCTAGAAGCTTACATTGCTTGGAATGCCTGCTGGAAAGAGATAGATCAAAACCAAACAAACAAAAATAAGCAAACAAAAAATAAAATGTGTGGTTGAAATGAAGAAAATGACAGTGATGAGATGGGAGCAGGGCATTTGAGCTGAGACCAGATGGTCAAAAGGAGCCAGGACATGAAGACATTCCAGGAATATGGGGCAGCTTGTATGGTGGCCCTGAGGCACAAACACATTTGTCTGGTTTGAGGACATATCAAAGGGCAGGGTTAGTTAGAAAGAGACACAGGTTCACAGGGCAACAGGGGCATGGGAAGGAGTTTATCAAGTACTACTGTGATATTTTAAGCATTCAAGTCATTTTATCATGTCCGCATTTTGCAAAGAGAGTGAGGGGACTACAAGAGGCACCGGAAGCAGGGAGACCAACGAGCAGGCTGGTAGAGTGGACCAGGTGAGAGATCGTGGGACCAAATTTGGAACATGTGTTAGGAGCAGAGTTAACAGGTTGGATATTGAGGGTGAGGAGAAGAGGCGTCATGGTGTCCCGAGGTGGCCTGGAGCCAAGTACCCATTCCTTTTTTTTAATATATTTTATTGATTTTTTTACAGAGAGAAAGGGAGAGGAGAGAGATAGAGAGCTCGAAACATCGATGAGAGAGAGACATCAACCAGCTGCCTCCTGCACATCTCACACTGGAAATGTGCCCGCAACCAATGTACATGCCCTTGACCGGAATCAAACCTGGGACCTTTCAGTCCACAAGCCGATGCTCTATCCACTGAGCCAAACCGGTTTCAGCCAAGTACCCATTCTTTCTATAATACTCAAAGCTCCATGCACTTGCCCACCTATTGGGGGAAATCTCTTAGCCTGACAGGTAGGAGTTTTAAATCGGGCATTTTCTAGGGTGGATGGTTGATAGGAGTATATTATAGAGGACCCAACAGTTAAGAGTCCAAAACAACTCAAAGCCACCCCCAGGTTTTTTCTCCTGGGCCCTGTTTTGAGCCTACTCTTTGCCTGCCATGCGTGTGCGTGTGCGTGTGTGTGTGTGCCAGACAGCAAAGCCCCAGGCACTTGAAAACAGAGACACTGTTCTCCTGATTGCACGTTGGTCTCACCCTTTCCTTTTCCCCTTGGGTGTGACCTACACCTGCTCTATAACTAGCCAGCTGCTCTCACAGCTGCCCCGTGAGCCCTGGTCCAGCCCATGAAGGTTCCTGTTTGGACTCCCCCAGATACCCAGGATCTCAGAGCTAAGTCCCCACTAGGTAAACTCAGGGAGCTCGTGCCAGCTCCATGCTGAGCCAGAAACATCCAAGTAGCCTCAGAGTTAACAGTAAATCTCCAGCTTCTACCCACCAATACTGAGACAAGTGAATCAGTCTAGTGAAGTATCAACAGCAGCAACCATCACCGGCATAGTCATTTCATTATTTTCTCCTCATCCCTAAACCTTTCTTTCCTGCCTCATTGTATTTGTCTCCTCTTCAAGAACAATCTCCATTGCCCAGTCTCTCTTCCCGTCTTGCCTACCTGGCCTCTTCCATTTTACCCCAGAGCACACCACTGATCAGTTTTAAAATCTTAGGAAAAAAAACTCCAGTGCTTGGTGGAAGGAATACAGGGTGGTGGCTTCCTCAATCGTGTCCATCTTGTCCTCTCCCACTCTCACAATGAGTTTTATAAATATTTTGATCAGAGGCACATTTCACTACTGTTGATCTGTACAATACATAAGTGTAATGTATTAATTGTGATTTTTAATACATTTGCTCCAAGGAAGTTCCCTAGGTAAGTGAAAGCAGGTAACTGTGAGTGGGCTGTTCATGTTCATTTGTTTCATGCGGATTAAGAATCACCTTTCGGAGAACGTGTCCAGTGTGCTGCTCTTTACAAAGAACGGTGGTGCTCTCTCTCCTGCCCCGTACTCAGCGTTTTTCCTTCCTCGGCTCTAGTCCAGTTTACTTTGCTTTTACAGGTTAACCAGGAACCAAGTACTTCCATGAAATGTAAAATTCTTTTTGGTTGACAGTGGAATTTGGGGTCTGCTATGAGCCTGAGTATGTTTTAAGTGAGAATTGAGTCCATTGTTTAAGCTCAAAGGCTCCTCTTTTTAAAATCTGAAATTAATATTCGGGTAAAGCTTCAGAGTGGTTATTTGTATCTTCTAAAAATAATGTCTGTCTTTGTTCAGGAAATATTATGGAGAGAAGATTGGAATCTATTTTGCGTGGCTGGGCTATTACACTCAGATGCTCTTCCTGGCAGCAATAGTGGGCGTGGCTTGCTTTCTCTACGGATATCTGAATCGAAATAACTGCACGTGGAGGTAACCCCTGTTTGTTCCTTGTCACCACGCTGAAGGTTGGTGAGACATAAAATTATTTTCAGGGTCTTAGACATTTTTCGTGAAAGAGGACTTATCACAAAACAGTGACTGCTTTGGACGATACATCTTTTTTTTTTTTTTATCTGAGTCTAATAAGTGGAATGGAAATTTTTTTTTCTTAGATCATTGCAGCCCAGTCTCTGGCAGGAATATTATCCCCAGGAAACACTTCAATATTTTCAGACAATGCTTTGATTGCAAAGGAAAAGAGGGATGTAAGGAGGATCATCCTTGATCTTCTGGCCTCCAGAGGAATGCTTTGCTTAGCCCTACAGATGTGGCCAAGAGCAGATCTGGTCGCTCTAAAGTTTCAGTGGCGAAACTGGAAAAATTGGTGTTTTTATGCTTTTAGAAATGATTTCTTATGCATGCCTAAAAACCTAAGTAAATACTTTTTTTTTTTTTTAACTTTTTAAAAACTAGCCCTTACAAAATTAGGGGAAAGAATAAGTGATAAAGAATGAGTTTGTGCTTGAAGTTGGAATGCTGGTACCAGCTGTACTGTCTAGAGAGAAATATGCGGAAGCCAGAATACTGCATTGCACCATTACTGTTCTGAATTGTGTTGCTATGCCTCTGCTTTTGGTGGCCTCAACTCTCAGGATACATGCAACACTAAACCAAGTATTTTCCTTTGACCTTCCCACCAGATCGAAATGTCTGGACAACAGCTATGAGCAGACCAAATTTTTCTAGCTTGGGACATACCAGGCTAGCTCCCCAGGCAGGCAGCCCTGATGTGTAGGCATCCTGATCTGTTCTGTGTAACAGAGTTCTGAGTGTTCTGTACCCACAGGGCTTCTTAGCCAGAAAGCTGCAGATGGCCTGTGAAGTCCTCACTTCTCTTCACTGGAAAAGCGTTTAAGGCCACGGGCTGAATGTTGGCACTTTTTACCTACATTTGTCTTTAGCCTCTCCATTGTTTTGTATAGACTTCCAGCCAAGAAAAAAGAAGGCATTTCAAAAATTATACTTTCAAAGTGATGAGATACATTTTTATAAATTTCTTGAATGGTGGTTGTAGACAATATTCTTACAGAGATTTAGCTGTTTTTCCTTAAATAAACGCCCACTAAGTTGTTGTTTTTGTTTAATTTGCAGAGCTCTGCAGAGGTTAATTTTGACTAATTTTGCCATTGTTCTCTTATGTAGAAGAATAGACTTTCCAAGATTTACTTTATTTTGTTGTTGCTGTTTTGTTGTTGATCCTCACCCGAAGATATTTTTCCATTGATTTTTAGGGAGAGTGGAAGAGAGAGGGAAAGACAGAGAAACATTACCATTCCTAGTTTTATAAGAATTTAGTTTTGTCTTATATTTTCTTATATGAATAGATGTTGGATTTTATCATTCTACTAGAAAGGCAGTCCTATTCATTAAATTTTTTAAACATTAAAAATTTTCTCTTTTCTCTAGCAAAGAAGTCTGTGATCCTAATATTGGTGGCAACATCATAATGTGTCCTCAGTGTGATAAGCTTTGTCCATTCTGGAAGCTCAATATTACTTGCGAGTCCTCACAGGTAATTTTTGTTATTTCAAACATTTCCAAGTAATGAAAGATAATTTTTCCTCTAATCATTTTATCAAAACATTAATATTTTTTTTCTCTCAGAGGAATTCAGAAAGGTAATTTTAAATTAACCCTTCATTCTGAAAGGTAGATATAAAACACATGTGTTTATTCCTCTATTGCAAATAAGTTGAGATTAAAAGCCTTATCTATAATCTCCTGGAGGATCCTGAAGGAACTGTGGGATTGAAACTATTTGATATATCTGGCAATCAAAGCAGAAATCTCAGACAGCTTACTTCACGAATACTTTCCATTATGGTTACTGTTACAAGTATTTTCCTAAATTCAAGTGAATGAAAAATATGTTTGGAATTTTAAAGACTTTGATGGTCATATTTCAACTGTATCTGTAAATGTGCATGAAAAAGGTTTTGTATACAAATGACAGCAGATACTCACTTTGTCTCAAAAATCTCCATAAAACACATCTGGCACCTGGCTAACTGCAGATGATCTTGAGCTGTAAGACTCCTCAACTCCAGGGGGTTTAGGGTAACAGTGAGCCTGGAGGGAGCTTATTAAATGGCATCCTCCCTCTTTCCCGTCTCCCCTCCCCCTCCCTTCCCCTCCCTCCCCCCCAGAAAGCAGGCCCACTTGCATTGGAGAGTTTTCCTGACAACTTTGACATATTACCACTGAAGCAATGCCACTGTATATTTTATACTTTGCAAAGTCTTGTATTTATCACTTTTGGCACACACAGGAACCCTATGAGATAGTCAGGGCAGGTATTATCTCCACTTTACAGATTAAAACACTGAGGAACTGAGAAATTAAATAGTTTGCTCAAGGTCACCCACCTGTTAACTAGCAAAGCCGGGAACTGACTGGGAGTCTGGCTCCCCAGCTGACAGTAGTACCAGGCACTTCACTCTCAAGTTGAGCTCTATGTTTGAAAAAACTGTCCCTCCCGTAATTAAGATGATTGCAGGGTATCGGCAACGCATGGGTTTTTATGCTTAATTTATGAATTAGAATAGATTTCATTGCCCACCCTCCAAATCAACACAAATGCTAGCCCACAAATATCTGCCAGAGATGACACAAAGGAAAGGATTTAAGCTGGTAAAAGTGAAGCTGCCTGCCAGTGAAGTTCACTCACAAAGGTCAGGAGTTAGAGTGACCCCAGGCACTGGACTTAAAGCAGATGCCAACAGTAATTAATACCAGAGGCAAACTGCAACTGTAAATTCCACTTTCTTTAAGGAATTCTCTCTCACACTCCACCCCCATTTCTTTTCTCATTGCTTCTGACCCGTTTGAAACACATGACTTGGAACTATATCCCTGTGCACATATTTTTTCCCTTGTTTTGGAAAAAATATGAGTCATTCTACTCGTTTCCTGAACAATCCCTTGAGCCTTGTCAGAGTGATTTACAAAGGGAAGGAAATATATAAAAAATGAAATGAAAAATGCGTTTTAAAAAAAGTTTTTTATGCTTTCCCTTTTGTTGGTTAATCCAATTATTTCTTTTTTTAAATAATGTTTTATTGCATAATTTTTGAGAGAGAGGAAGAGGAAGGGAAAGAGAAACATCTCTTTGTTGCTCCACTCATTTATCTATTCATTGGTTGTGTTTTGTCTGTACCCTGACCGGGGATTGAACCCACAACCATGTTGTATCAGGACAATGCTCTAATCATCTGAGCTACCAGGTCAGGGCCTCTATTCAATTATTTCTTTATACATTGACTTATATATTTATTTCTACTTTTTTTTTTTTTTTTTGGAAAGAGATGGAGTATTCACTAATTGGCATATATGCTAAAAGGATTAACAAACTACACATATAAATATGCATATAAAACCAGGGTCAGGGAAATGAAACAGTTATAAAAATAATCAGGAATAATATTGTTCTTGTGATTGAGCAGAGTCAAGTCCATAGCTTTTGGCTGGCAAGATAAAAGCAAAACATGGTAAATTATAATACTTTGTTCTTAGAAATACATTAAGCTATAAAATTTTGAATTTATTCTTTTGCAGGAAGAAAGCATAACAAAGGGTCATTTTCTAGGTTCTGATCAGTTCCTCTCTTAAAATCGGCATGCCTGCATGCATAGCTCTCTCTTCTTTCCTGCTCCTTGTGACTGAAGCCGTGTGCAGACGTGGGGCTGCCCTTCGCACAGCTGGCTTTCCCCCTGCACCATCCTGCCAAGCATGCTAAGCCAGGCTTCTCCCCAGGAAAGCCCCTTGCTTGTCTTCTCTCCTACTTCCTGCTCCCGTGTCACTGTGGGCCACCTAGTACAGAGAGGCCAGCCACCTCCTTTTCTCTTGGGTCCTTGACTTTTACTCACGTGGCAAAGGTGGTAGCTTGGATCAACTACCTGTCTTAGGCATGCAAGGTGCATCCCTTGTCTTGAACCAGGCAACTGGTGCAATCTTGGCATTGGCAATAAACCTGTTTTTTCTTGCTCCTCCTCTTTTTTTTCCCCTCTCGCACTGGTAGATGTACTTCCATTGGGTTTTCAGCATAGCAGCGCAAAGAATTCACAGGCTTTCCTTCTTTGTAATGTGGATAGAGCAGAGGTGTCAGGGTAAGCAGGGAGGCATCAGATAGAAAGAGGCTTGCACTGATTCCTAAAAGAGAAGAGTTAACATTGGGCAGAATTGTCGATGAGAGTGTGATAACTCACAGGATGATTTTTCATGAGACTTTTCTTACAATTTTCAGTAAGAGAGAAGGGATAGCATTCAGAGACAACTCGGAGGAGAAGGTTCCATAAGAGTCAAAGCTAAAATGTTTGAAAGGTGTGGTGCATGGCACCCCCGGACGAGAGGAACAGGTGGAGAGCTTTGCTCGCAGGGCCTTCCCTCGCCTGTCCATTGTCTCCCTGGAGGGGGAGTGTTTGAGAGGCATAGACGGCAGCCGCTTGGGATTGTGCTTTCTGAGCAGGGTGTGTATGGGTGACTGAAGGGCATCTGCTTTGGAAAACGGATGTCCGAGTAGAGGGTTAGGTGGCTAATCTTTTATGAAAATAACATAACTAATGTTTCAACAGTGATGAAAGTTGACCTACTTTATACACCAATAGAAAGGGCAACCCAAAAAGTTACCTCAAACAGAGAGGAGTTTTCCTCAGAAGCAGCTTGGCATGTTCTTGGGCGTTTGAAAAATCTGGCTTTTTAAATTTGTTTTGTTTTCTTTTTAACCTAGTGCTTTTTTTTTCTGTCCTGTTGTCTTTGCTTTTATTTTTATCTACCCTGAAGTTGATATTATATATGTTTGCCACTATTTCCATTAACCTTACAGACATTTTTAGGAGCTGTAAAAAAAGAAAAACTCACTCATGAAAAATGAGTAACTAAGGGAACGATTTTCCAGGAATTTATAGAGGGAAGATAGGCTATCTATATAGTAGCAAAAAGATGAAGCGTGGCAGAACTTGTGAATAGAGCCTCCTTTGCGCAGGTGTGTCATTGATTCTCTCTGTAATGGGCACTGTACCCTTTGTTATGTCAGCAAAAGCCCCTGTGTACCTTGTTCTACTGGGAGGCTCTGTCAGTGGTGGTAAAAAGGTTTTCCTTGGCTGTGAGGGAGCAGAGTTCTTCTGGAGGAGAACAATCTCAGAATAGCTCGCCTTGTACTTCTCTTATCAAGACACGCGGGAATTCAGGAACCTATCCTCTGACCAGGGCGGGATGATGATAAGATGCAAATCGTAGTGTAAAAGTTGCTTGGAGTTCATTGTATTCTTAGGACCATACTACTTTCTATTTTTTACGACTGCTCATAGATGAGGCCATTATTCAGAAGTCTGAGAGAGGCTTTATACGGAGTGGAGTCTTAGCAGCTCTCCTATTTTCCTGATCGTGAGATGGAAAGATTCCGTCACAAAACACACTTATAAACACAGCAAAGGCTGTTTGCTTCCAGAAGAGTGGGAAACCCCATCTATAAGGATTTAGTGCATATTATTGTGATTGTTGAATAAGGTGTCAGCTTTACAAAGAAATTCGGACTGTATACACACACACAAAGCATTGACTATTTGATGAATTCTAATAAGTGGAGAACAGGATTAATTTATATGTCATTATTGTATTTTCCAGAAATTGTGCATCTTTGACAGTTTTGGAACCCTAGTCTTTGCAGTATTTATGGGAGTCTGGGGTAAGTTTTCTTTTGTTGTTTTTTCAGTTTATTTTGCCTCTTAAAACACAAACACACACACAAAACCTAAGATCACACAAATGCCTCAACTTAATAGCATTATGCAGTTTTGTACAGGCTGTCAACATAACCCACTTTAGGACCTTGGATGGCCCAAACTTCAACTCCCCTACAACTCCATCTGGAACTCTTAAAAGTCATTGTATCAGTTACTGCATAAGGGACTGCCTCAAAATGTAGTAGCTTCAAAAACACTTTTATAATTCTCATCGTTCTCTAGGTCAGCTATGGGGATCCTCAGCTATGGGCTGGCTCAGCTGATCAAGCTGACAGCTCCCCTGGGCTAGTCCGGCAGTCACCAAGCCGATTGGTTCGTGGGGCTCAGCTGGGCCAGCTCATCTTGCTCCATGCTGTCCCTCATCCTCCACTGGGCGTGCCCGGGGTCTTCACATGACAGTTGTAGGGTTCCGAAAAGAGGCAAGAGAGGACAAGCCTTAATGCATATCTATTTTAAGCCTCTGGTTGCATGAGTTTGCAAATGTCCCATCAGCCAAAGTAAGTCATGGCCACCATGTGAGGCAGTGGGCGGACTACCCAGGGGCTGGGATGGAGGGAGGCTTGGTTCCCTGGGAGCCATCACGTTCATAGCCCCACAGCTGTCCACCACCCTGACTTGCCTGGGGTTGGGGTTCTGGGGAAGTGCCGACACAGCGGTCACAGATAAGCTTTCTTCTTTATACACCTCTAGGTAAGTGAGCATTTAATAAGCATGTGCTACTCTCACCATGCTTTCACATCCCATTTAATACATCGAACAAGTATAGTCCTAAACAATATAATCGTATATAAAAGCTTTAACATTATATTTTGTATCATTTACTTGAATCATATCATTAATGAGGTGATTATTTTTTGTAAATACAGACTTTTACATGTTTAATTGATGTAAATGTTCTATCATAGAAGAAAAAATGTCCACTTTCAAAGATAAACACATTTCCAACTTCATTGTGTAAGAGGAAAATGGAGTTCAGCTTATAGGTAGGTGGGGGAAGAAACAGAAGCAAGTCTCTTATTCTTAAGGCAACACATCAACACACGGGAATCACAGGCACAGTTCTCCACACGTGTCCTGGGCAGTATTTCTCTTTTGCGGTGGCTGTGCCTGTGAAGGTCACCAAATGGGTCTCAGAACAGACATTGTTTGCACACTTTTTAGAGGTGCTAGCTTTCACTCCTCGATTAATTAGACCCATGGTCGGCAAACTCACAAGCCACATGCAGCTCTTTGGCCCCTTGAGTGTGGCTCTTCCACAAAATACCATGGCTTGGGCGAGTCTATTTTGAAGAAGTGGCATTAGAAGAAGTTTAAGTTTAAAAAATTCGGCTCTCAAAAGAAAGTTCAATCGTTGTAACTGTTGATGTTTGGCTCTGTTGACTATATGAGTTTGCCAACCACTGAACTAGACTATAAGGTGGCCAAACTTACCTACAAAGTTACATTGTCATTCAGACACTTAGCATGTTTTGGCTGAAAACCAAATACTAGTTAATATATGACACATGGAAGAATAAAGATCAGATTCATATGTTAAGATCCTTAGTACTTCTCCACTGTTATATAATCCTATTTCCCTCCAGTAAGGGCACCGGTGCCACACACATGGGTGGTGGGCACTTGCATAACAGATAAAATTCTGACCCATCTGTTGAACTCCATGTCCTAATGGGTGCTGACAGGCCTATGTTAAAAAGACATCTTAATAATGCAAAAAAAAAAAACAAAAAAAAACACACACAACAGGGTGGGGCAAAAGTAGGTTTACAGCGGTAAGTACGTGAACACGGAGTTTATTCTTATATTATTAATTAATTGTTGTAATTGTTTTCCGTATGAAAAAATGTAAACCTGCTTTTGCTTCTCCCTGTATATTAATTTTTGCACTGCCAGACAACCCTCCTGTTTCCTAGCTAGCCTTGGTTTTCATGATCATTAACTACACCATGTTTACCGAACTGACGGAAGCATAGTGAGCTATTGATTTTATGTCACCTGATTTTAGGATGCAGAAAACATCTCGGGCCTGCTTGCAGCACCATATGTGTATCGTTAAGCACATGTATGATGAAGTCTTTATTTTAAGTGCCTTATATTGCTTTCCTTGTTACCTCTGCCTGATGAGGACTGCTGCTGTGAGCCTCATTACAGAAAGCCTGAAATTGTAGAGCTGAAGAGGCAGGAGGATCTGTGATCTTCACATTCCTGCACATCTCTTTTGTGCCCAGATATATGGGGCACTTAATGTTGTCCTGTTCCCTAGGAGTTATACAAGTTGAGAATAGAAAATCTTTTATAAGAAATTCAGTACAGCCCTAACCAGTTTGGCTTAGTGGATAGAGCATCAGCCTGCAAGCTGAAGGGTCCCAGGTTCAATTCTGGTCAAGGCCACATGCTCTGCTTGCAGGCTCAATAGGGGGCATGCAGAAGGCAGCCGATCAATGATTCTCATCATTGATCTATCTTTCTCTTCCTCTCTCTCTCTCTCTCGCTCTCTCTCTCTCTCTCTCTCTCTCTCTCTCTCTCTGTCTCTCTCTGTCCCTCTCCCCTCCCTTTTTCTCTGAAGTCAATAAAAGTGTGTGTTTTTTTTAAAAGGACAGGCTGTTCTTAATTCCCAAGGTCCTACGCAGCCATCCCTCTTCTGTTGTTGTAACTGTATCTCTTTAATCAGCCAGAGCTTCATGGTATGTGGTTTGCCAGAGAAATAAGTATAGTGCCTCCCACTGGAGTCCTGCCAGGTGTTTTACTGCAGGGAGAGCGCAAAAGAAAGAGAACAGGAAACTCCTGTGTGACATCACGCAGGGTCACCCCAGGCCATGGTGCTCTCCATCAGGGATGTGCAGCGGTGAGTCAGCAGGGACATGGCCAGGAGTGCTCCAGAATGCTGGGCGGCTATACCAGGTTACCATGCCTTCCAGGAACCCTGCAAATCCTTCGCTGTGTGAAATGAGGGACTAAGAAACTCCCACCCATTCCGGCAACTCTCCAGCTTTTTGCCTTTGAGGTTCAGAATCTGCTAACAACTCGTTATTTTTCACCAGGTCATTTCTTGCTTGCTTGGCAGTCCTGTCACTTCCTAGGCAGGACTGCTCCTTGGGTTCAGAGCCTTTGGTAAACAGAGGCCGTTTTACCCCTATGTTCAAGTTCAGGGAGGACAAGGAATAGTACCCACTCTCCTTTCTTTATAGTGCTGATTAGGATTGCCGATACTGCTTTTTTTGTGAGAAAAATACGTCTTTTTTTCATAAACCATCTCCTGTTGATACTGTTCCTAGATAGTGAGCTAATGGATGGCTATTATACTCCCATTTTAAAGATGAGGAAAGTGCCGGCACCGGTTTGGCTCAGTGGTAGAGCGTCGGTCTGCGGACTGAAAGGACCCGGGGTCAAGGGCATGTACCTTGGTTGCGGGCACATACCCAGTAGGGGGTGTGCAAAAGGCAGCTGGTCGATGATTCTCTCTCATCGACATTTCTAGCTCTCTATCCCTCTCTCTTCCTCTCTGTGAAAAATCAATAAAAAAATATTTTTTTTTTAAAGATGAGGAAAGTGACACTCAGGAAGATTAACCAAATTCTCAACTCCCCCGAGAGAGGCAGAAGGTGAGGAGCACAGAATAAGAGCTCTGCAAACAATGTGGCTGTCATAAGCCTTTCAATTGGTGACAAAATGCAGTATATAGTAATAAAGTTATAGGAAGCTCTTAGAAAGATGCATAAATGTTTACTTGATTGAAAGAACAGCACGGTTCTGTCTGGAGCTGGGAATTGTAGGAATGGGTTAGAAAGTCTTCGCTCCATGACTCTGATTCCACCTCACCTGACACGTGTAACGGGAAGAAGAAAGCCAGACTCGTAGCCTCTTGCCACTCTCCCGAAGAGATGAGAGAGCTTCCTTTCACTTATGCCTGCCTCTGGGCGCCACCAGGAGCAGGCTTTTCATGTGTTCAGTCAGTTTTCTTTAAAAGGAGAGATGATTAAAGATATACATTCATGAAAATAAGCTGCTTTATTTCTTAAATGAAAAGCCACTTTCTTTGCAGAGAAGGAAATTGGAGATTTTTATGTGTTTTTTTGAAAAAGGATTTCAAACACATCTAACAAATCAAAATTGCAAAATTAAAAGAATTACAAGGAAGATATCTTGCGTGGCTCCTGAGAGGCCTTTCCCAGCAAGCTGGGTTCCTACAGAGGCCATGACGGGGCAGACACCGCCTTCCCATCCATAGTGTCTTTCCTCAGTTGGAAGGGCCGGAGTTTCCGCTGCTGTGATCTTATGTTTCTGGTGAGTTGGGAGGTAGGACAGAACTCAAGATGATTCCCTCAGTCCGTCTACTCTGACATCCTCTCAGCGATCAAGGGGCTAGAGCCACCAGGATCTCCCCAGTAAACTGGCGCATTCTCTATGACATGTTCTCCCTCTCAGCTTATGCAGACCTGTTGCCGGGCGGAGGGAAACAGGGGGCCCATGTGATCTGGTATAGCAGAGGATGATAGTGAGTGGGTGGTCACGCACAGAGCGGAGCAGCTGGAGTAGATGGTTCCATCCATCGGGGATCCTACGTGGTAGGGGTTCTCCAAGCTCTGGATTGGCTTCCTACAGCTCATTCACTCAGTACCTGCTGTGGGTTAGTGCTTCCACATGAATGAAACAAGACTCTTGCCCTCACGGTGGCATTCTAGTGGGCATGATCCACAGTACATGTAGAAGCAAACACAGGTCAGGATCGTGAGGGCTACCTGTTTTGAAGCACGAACGTTGAGGTCAGCGTAGGGAATAAAGTGTGCCGTTCTTGACAGAATGGACACTTCCACTGGGCGTTTAACCGTTTAGTAGGAAGACACAGTTGAAAGAACTTTGGGGATGGAGAGTTCATGCAATACCAGCAGAATTCTCAAGTAAACTAAAGAATTAAGCTCTTCTACTTGATGGGGTGCATTGGGTGTGTAGCTAGGAGACATGAGCCCAGGGGACTCTAGTAAGTGGGTATACTGTGCTGCTTCAGATGAAGCCCAGGAAGGGTGGCTCATGGTGACTCATTTGCCCACTAGGTTAAGGTTACCAGACGTCCTGCTTTTGGCAGGACAGCCCGATTTTTTAACAATTTGTCCCACATCCCATGGCGTTTTAAAAAAAAGTCCAAAAGATTTAAAAGAATCTTTCTAAAAATTGGGACTCTTTTAAAACGCCACGGGACACGGGACAAATTGTTAAAAATTGGGACATCTGGTCACCATACACTAGGGGTCTCTTTGGGAGTATCAGCCACATGAGGCCAGCATGCGTCAGGTGGGAGGCGGGACCAGCCACGGCAGCTGGATCCACAGAGATACCTAGTGCCCTGAAGACTCCCACCGATGCCTCGTTCCCTCCTGCCTGGGGACAAGGACACGTGGCTGGGCAGTTTCTCAGTGGAGTCAGCACAGGCTCAGGAGAGAGGCCCAGGCACACGGAGAGGACCTTCCTGAGAGCAGGAGCAGCCACAGCAGTCCAGCTCTCCGGGGTCTGACAGGTGAACCAGCTCAGTTTCTCTCATAACTTATTCCCTCACAGGTTTGGGGGCATTTGAGGAACTGAGAGGGTCAGGAAAGAATACCCAAGGGCTCTGTGGATTTCATCCTCCAATGTTAACTCATCTGTGGTAGCTGTTGTGCCAGGAGATGGAATTTGGGGACGATTGGGCCTTTCCCTGTGCTCCTTTTTTGAAAGAATACATTTTATTGATTTTTTTTTTTTTTTTTGGACAGAGAGGGACAGAGAGTTAGAAACATTGATGAGACAGAGTCATCAATCAGCTGCCTCTTGCACACCCCCTACTGGGGATGTGCCCGCAACCAAGGTACATGCGTTTGACCGGAATCAAACCCGGGACCTTTCAGTCCATAGGCTGATGCTCTATCCACTGAGCCATACCGGTTTCAGCTCCCTGTGCTCCCTGATGGGGCCAGTGGAGTACAAGGTAAACTACAACTTGGCAGCAGGGGACGGGGGAAGGCATCATTCCTATCTAAAGAGGCTAGGCGGCCTTACGTAACTCCTGCCTCAGGTTTCAGAGCTTTATAAGGAAAACTGGCTCCCAACCAAGTGGGCGGCAAGGAGTAACCTCCCCTACTCACTGAGCTCTGAGCTTCCGTTAACAATAGCACCCACGACAGGAAGCTGGCCCTCCACCTATATTCCCTTGCAAACATTCCGGCAACCACAGCAGGCTCCGCCCAGGGCTCGTGTTCCCACAGAGGCCCTGCCTGGGAACAGGACCGTTACTAACAGTGTGCCTGGCATTGTGCCAGGATCAGAAACTGAGGAAGCCAGCAGCGATGACACCTAAGCAACTCGTTGTAGTTTACCTTGTAATCCACTGGCCAAAGGAGGCGGACTGGAGAGCAGGAGCGTTAGGGGCAAAGCTGGGTTGGATTTCTGACTCGATACTAACCGCAGGCGAGTAGTTGAACCTGCCTGCGCCTCCGTTTCTTGGTGTCTAAAATGGGATCACAATAACAGTGACTTCAGAGGGCTTGGAAGGCCTTGACAGCTCTGGTTTCAATACATTCCCACTAGCCTGTGGGGTAGGTTCTGTCCACCCTTTTTGCAGAGCAACATAGGTCCTGCACTCATTCCACCTGGCTGCCCCACTCTGTCCATCACCCAGTGTCTGCAAAGTAGACTCTCTTCATCCCCTGGCCTTTGCTTGAGCAGCTCCTTTTTTTGGGGGGGGAGGGGGGGGCTTTAACCTGATCAGTCGAAGTCACCTCAAAACTCACATGGGCTCCCCTCCTCTGCGGGAGCCATGGCTCCATGTTGGTTACTTATGCTGGCTCTGTGTTCCCAGAGCAACCTGGGCTGACCTTTATCGAGTACCTCTTAGTAGTCTACTGTAACTAGCACTTCACTGTAATCTCTGCACACCTAAGGGGCTCCTTGAAAAAGAGATTGCGCCTTTTTTCTCTTCTCAGCACATGGTAGAAACTCAAGCAGTATTTCTGTGTGGAACAGTGGTAACAGAATTTCTACACAGCGAGGGCTTGGTGGTAGCCATCTGGAAGGAGGGCCTAGAAGATTTACCCCAAAACCACATTTTCAGTTAATGTGTAATGTTCTCTTTATTCCGCATTTTAAGTTACAAATCTTACAAAATAATAAAAATATCTAAAAGTTACACTTTATACTTTACACAAGATAGAAAAATATACCAGTTTTCTATATTTAAGAATATTAACGTTACTTTGGGATGGCTTGGGTGGTGGTAGAAAGAGACTTGGGAATTACTAAAGCATTCCCCCCACGCGAGCCCTTAGGAAGGACGTGAGGGAGAGGGATGTGGGGGAGAGCAGCCTGAAGGATGGGCCGTGAATGCTCTGAACTACACTGGATATTTGTGGTGTTTAGGTGGCGATGAAAAGTGCCGGCAGCCCATGCTTCAGCCCTAGACACTCCCATTCCTCCAGCCATCACCTTGTCCCCTTTCCCATAAGCTGTCGGCTCTTACAAGAGCCTTCACTTGTCTTCTGCTCTTTAAAATATTAGTGTCACCTGTAAATTAGATGCTGTTGACTGTATAGAAGGGTTATGGGTAATTAATAGTATTTAGTATAGATTTAAGGAACATCAGTCATCATTGGAAGCCCACATGATCCTGTTCTCTCTCTGTTAGTTACCTTGTTTTTGGAGTTCTGGAAGCGGCGCCAGGCAGAGCTTGAGTACGAATGGGACACGGTTGAGTTACAGCAAGAAGAACAGCCCCGGCCGGAATATGAGGCCCGGTGTACTCACGTGGTGATAAATGAGATCACTCAGGTAAGGAGTCAGTCTGCTTATTGCAGGGTGGATGCCTGCCTCCCATCACTACTTACTCTGGTGGTACTTGGTGGCCTGGGGTGTGTTCTGGGCTCAGGGATTTTTTTTAAAGCTCCTCCAGGAATCCTGATTGTGTACCCAAAGTGAAGAAGCTGTGCTTAAACAGTGGACATGGAAGATAAAGGTAGTCCCTTCTTTCACAGTAACAGTAAAAATGGGGGGAGAGGGGGGAAATAAAAATACAAAAGCCAACTTTGAGATAAATGTACAGTAAGTCCTCACTGAGCTGTCATGATAAGTTCTGCAAACCTGTAAATAGATGATATATAATGAAACCAATTTTACTCTAGGCCTATTGAGACAAACGAAAGGTAGGTTCCCACATCCCCTCATCAGTGCTCTAATGCAATGACGTTATTATTTGATGAAAACCTTCTGTATAAGAAAAGATGCACTGGTTTGCATCCTTTCTTTCCATTTCCAGTAAAAAACATACACACACAAAAATAGACTCTGTGACATAAATGTATGGGAAGATGCATAGGTTTTTAGTTAATTCTCAACCGTTCACATGCGCCTCCTTCGTTATTTCAGCCCCTTTCATCCCAGCCTTAGCTGCCCCTTTGTCTTGCACTAAAGCCTCAGTCACTGCTCCCCCTTCCGGCTGGGATGTGCACAAAACAGTGTGGCTCTTCCCCTAATTTGGAGGGAAAGGTGGGAAAGGAAAACCTCTGTTGAGGTCCGACTATGTTCAGTCACTGTGGGAGGCACTTCATATTGTTGGAAAGGTAAATTTGCTGCTGCTACAAAATTAGAAACAAAATGCCTCTATATCTTTCTGTATTAATATCCCAAAGCCAGCAAAAGATGATTTTTTTAATCAGCTGAATTATTGCTTCTTCCCATCAACACAGACAATTTAGGGCTGATTGTACTTGCAGCAATCAGCTTAAGGACAGTGACTTTTGAAAATGAATAACTCTTAGGAAAACATGCTCTTCCCAAGAGCTGTCCCTGATTCTAGATTTTATAAATTGAGTCACAGATTTACAGACAGTCAGCACTAAAAGGGACCAGAGGGAGCAGTTCAACTCCTCATTTTGTAAGTGGGGGAAATGAGATCCAGTTACCAAATAAGGTGACATTTGGCTTTGTGACGGTAATAAACTGCGAATAATCCCCATTATGAATAGCTCCCACTGCTGACTGTGGAAGACAGAGCCAAAGCATGTGTGGTTGAAAGATCGTAGATTTAGAAATGAGAGCCAAAACTTAAACAGAATTGTATGTTCATAATGTCTTTTGAGTCCTGAAAAACAAAAGCTTATATTGGCAACATAAGGAAGTTACTGAAGAAAAATCAACTTGGTAATTTAAACCTGCCAATTTTACATTTAAAAACACCAACTAATAGGTTTAAATTTCCATTGTTAAAAAAAATGAAAGATGAAAGTTTATTTGAACCTTTATTTTACTTCTCATTTTACTTTTCACGGTAACACATCCTTCATTGGCTTAGAGAGGCGTATAGTGCAATGGTCAGGTCTTGAGAACGAGGTTGCCTAAGTTCAAATCCAAACACAGCAAGGTAGCTGCTGAATGATTCAGAACAAATTATTTAATTTCTCTGTGCCATTATCTCCTCCATTATAAAATAGAAACAAATACAGTTGCTTCCTCAGACGACTGTAGTAAGGCTGAATCAACTTAATGTTTAGAACCTGTGCAAAATAGTACCTGGTACAGAGTAAATAGCACACAAGTATTTGCAGCTATTGCTGTACTATAGCTTCTCTTACTCTCCACGTAAATCCTGAGAAGTATTGACTTCTGCTCTTAAAATTTTAAATATATTCATTTAAAGGGAAAACTTTAAAAATTCAGTTATGACAGAGTACATGTGTAGAGATCAACCAAGAGCTCATACTGGATGCCTCGCATTTGCAAACGTCGGTGAGATGTTTCATCTTGCATGGACTCTGAGCTCTCTATCATCGCTTCTAACACCTAAGACATGCTCAGAAATGCAGCTTCACAGCGTGGCCTTGTAAGGTACCTGACCTCCGAGCTCAGGTTACGGCAGAGAAATTAGTATTCACACTTTCGTTTTCAAAAAATATTATTAAAATGAGCACTGCTTATGTTTTGTTGTATGTATGTTTGAAATGGTTAACAAAGAGCATGCAATTATGAGGAAGGAGGCTATGTTGGAAAACTAAATTTTAGAAAAATTAAATTCAGCTTAGGATATAGTGACCCATCAGGAGAAAAATTATTTCATTGGAGTGATCCCTTGATTGCCTAAACTTCTACTTTTTTTTTTTTAATTATTATTATTTTTTTAATCAGGAAGAAGAGCGGGTTCCCTTCACTACCTGGGGAAAATGCATACGCGCCGTCGTCTGCGCAAGTGCTGTCTTATTCTGGGTGAGTCCTGCACACCATTTAATATCCAGTTTTGAATGATGAGAAAGCTGAACACTGAGCTGGAAACTACCGTGTTTCCCCAAAAATAAAACCTCCTCCAAAAATAAGACCTAGCGTATGGAAAGATAAGACATCCCCTGAAAATAAGACCTAGCGCAACTTTGTGAGAAAAAAATTAATATAAGACACTGTCTTATTTTCTGGGAAACAGGGTATGTAAGCTTATTTGTTTAAATCAGAGCAGTGATCCAGTATTTTCCAGTTTCTGGTGAAGAATCCATCTGGGAGTCACGAAGGATTCTAAAATTTATCAGTAGCAACTAAAATAAAATTCAGTTATGACAAATTAATGTGTAAAGCTCTAAGAATAGTCTTAACAAAAAGATAACAGGAACTATCAAAGGTGTCAAAAATGTAAAAGAAACCTCAAATATGATTCTAGATCAAAAGACAATATTTCTAAAATATTTGAACTTAATAAGTTAATTTTGACTTTATCACAAATAAAATCATATTAGAACAATAATGATCTGTAATATACAGAGAATTTTGTAGACTCAAGAGTAGCCAGATGAGAGAATAGGACATGAAGCCCAGAATGGGCTCTGATATCAGTAATATAGGAGAATAGAAATATTCTAAATCTGGCAAAAGTAAAGATTATTCAATAAAATACACTTGTTAGCTATTGGCGGGAAAGTTGAAGAAAGAAACCATATCATGAACCACATGCTATAATAAATTCCAGAAATATTAAAGGTAAGTAACACTAAAAATAACTATAAATAAATATTGATGAATATATGATCTCTAGATATAAAATGATTTTCTAAACTTAATAGCAGTGGGAGAATTTTTGGATGAAAATATTGCTAACAATTTTCATACATCAAAAGACCTAAGCTTAAACAAAACACCAGATGTAATAATTATTAACAAATAGGGCAAAGGGTTAATCACATCAATACATAAAAAGGCCAGATCACTCCTAAGCTAATACTCAAGACCTCAGGAGCTTAGGGGCAGAGAACACAGTCACAAGAGAGAACTGTCATGGCAGATGCCAAACCTCAGGAGTAATTAGATTAGTGCATTACAATGAGATGTAATTTTTCACCTCTCAAGTAATGATCCAGTGTTTGAGAGGATGAAATGCAGTGATCAGCACTCTTATAACCTAGACTGTTAGAATTTTGTACTGCTCTGGCCTTCTTAGAAAGCCATTTGGCAGTATCAAGAGTCAAAAATATTCACATGCTATAATCTATGTCAGTGAAGAGTTAGTCTCATATATATATATATATTATAAAGAGCTACTTTTTAACTCTTTATACCATGGGGTATTTTGCAGCTGTGAAAAGCTATGTCCATGAAAATGTTTTATGACATGTAAAAATGTCCTGGTTATGATAGGCTTAAGGAAAAGATACAATTATTAAAATGACTTACTATGCAAACTACATAGTTCTGAAGGAATTGTGCCACAGGTAGATAGTAGATACATTTTCCCTATTTTTGTGAACTTTTTAGTCTTTACTTTTATCGTTAGGAATCTTTCAGTTGTGGGTGACAGAAAAATCAATCTGCTGCAAAGTGGGCGTTGGACTGACAATCTCAGTCTGAGGTCTGGCTCTGGTCCAGGGGAGGTACTGCAGCCCTGATGATGTCAAGGGCTGGGTTTGGTTCCATCTTTGTTCTGTGTCCTGTGGTCTCTCCCTTATGGTTGCAGAGTGACTGCAGCATTCCAGATCTCACATCACAGGGAAGCCGAGAAAGGCCTCTCTCAGCAGCATCCTCTAACAGAAGCTTCTCTTCCCCATGGGCACGAGTAGATATCTCCTCTCATAAGTGGCTCTTATTAGGTGGTCAGCCCCGGAGTCCGTTGCTGAGGAGAATAGGATGAGATACTTATCTGTCTCAATCTAATCAGGATCCCAGGGCAGGGAGGGCAATCTTGCCCAAACCGTGGGACTAAAAGTAGAGAGAATTCCCTCTAAAAGCAAAATCCGGGTCCTTTTCTCAGACTGGAAACAGACCCCGGGCAGCAAAAGCAACTATGGTTCACTACAGAGTGCTTTCAAGTGTTCTATGATGAGCACATATGCAGAGTTATGGTAAGAAAAGTACATTAAAGGTAGAGTGAGAAAAGATATGTAAGAAACTTGAGAAAGGTGAATGCAAAGCTTCTCTGCCTCTGATGGAGAAATATTGAACTGGCCACGTGCTTGAAGAAGTTTGCAATCATTAAGTTTGTGAAAGCTCTGGGATGAATTAGAATTCACTTCAGAAACCACGTAGGAGGCAGCGCCGTGTAGAGGTTAGTGGTCTTTGGAGTCCTTGCATTTCTCGGTGACTTCACTTACTAGTTGCTAAGTTTGGGGCAAATTGCTTAGTCTCTCTGTGGCTCTCTTCCCTCCTCTGTGAAGGAGATCTGATACTGCCTCCCTCCCCAGGCTGTGGAGGACTTAAAGATATATGTTTGCTGAGGCGAAGAGTGAGCACTGAAAGAGTCTTAACTATTTTAATTCCTTAATAACCTCAAAGGTCATATGGACTATATGTGCTGTGCTGAGAAAGAATTTGATATACCCTCTCTAATACATATTTCTTGGCCTTGGAAATACCCTCTCTAATACATATTTCTTGGCCTTGGAAATTTTCATATATACACCACATATATTTTTTTTAAATGTTATTCCTTAACAGTGAAGGAAAGGAGATAATGAGAGAGGTTAGAGGAGGAAATAGAATCCTTCTCTACAAACTGATGGCCTAAAAAGGTAAGAAAAACATCTTGGTAACACTTTAAGCTGCCCTTATCAGAGCTAATATTTATATAGTATTTTTCATATGTCTTTATTGACAGCAGCTCACTGAGTCCTCACACAAAAATTCTCTAAGTTACTTGCTGTTACGATCCCCCTGCAGATGGGTGAGGAGATGGAGGCCCCCCAAAGGTTCAATCATTTGTACCCTGTCCCACAGCCCTTGTACAAGGCAGAGCCGGGTTCCCACGCAGGAGGCTGGCTCCAGGGCGGTGCTTGCAATCACTCCCTCGACTGCTCTCCCGGGGAGCAGTCGCCTTCCTCTGTTACTGTAACCATGACACCATTGGCTTAGTCCCAAGACTCACACTCTTTGTGGGTTTTCTCTCTCTCATAGTAGTCCTCACCTGCAGTCAGACACTTTGAGTTCATGCTCTGGAGTGTGTCCAAGAGGAAGATGCAGGGCAAACAGTTTCAAAACGGGACCGCGGGTGTACACTGTTGAGTGGCAGAGAAAACCTGCCCAGTGAGGAAGTGAAATCCTAGCAACCACGTGCAATCTGTTGCTTCACACACTCCTGCTGACACGGGGCGTGCAGTCCTAAATGCGACGGGTTAGGAAAATGAAGCTTGTGCAAACCAGGTTATGAATAGCCGACAGTGTAAGGTCTTACAATATGAGCATGAGAAGTGTGTGAAGCTTTGATAAGCAGAGACCTGCCGCCATTCCCAGGGGTTACCCTGGGGCATCTGCACAGCTTAGGAGCTCGGGTCCTGGTCAGACCCGCCCTGGGCACTCAACTAAGACGAAAGCTGGCACCTGCTGACTGACCCTGAACCAGAGATACGTTCTCCGTTGGGAGCACACATACGCCCTTAATGGAGCAAAAAACAAAACAAAACACTGATTCATAACCTAAATGATTTCATAAGTATAGAGGGATGATTTCTCTGGTCCTGCTGTCACAAAGACTTTTTCCTTCTACCAGAGTGCATTCCCAGTTAATTCCATCTGAAGACACACTTCCTTTTTTTTTTTAATAGACCCTTTTTTTAGAGCAGCATTGCATTTACAGAAAAATTGCTCAGAAAGTACAGAGTTCCCATACTCCCTCACTCCCCACACACAGCTTCTCCTACTTTAACATCTCATTTAAGTGGACACACTCTCTTGTGACTTCCTTCTCCTCTCTTTGACCTTTAACGCACTTGATTTCTGCCTATCTTGTGGCAGTTCTGTGAGCCTTCACATCACTTTACCCATGCACCTTGTCCAGGTAAGGCCTGAGGCCAACTTTTCGGTGTAAAATATGATGACTGGGGAGTCTCACGCTGCTGTTTATTGTGCTTTCAGATCCTATTGATCATCGCTTCAGTCATTGGGATCATCGTCTATAGACTCTCGGTGTTCATTGTGTTTTCTGCCAAACTTCCCAAGAACCTGAATGGAACAGACCCAATCCAGAAGTATCTGACCCCACAGACAGCCACATCCATCACCGCTTCCCTCATCAGCTTCGTCATCATCATGATCCTCAACATGATCTATGAAAAAGTGGCGATCATGATTACCAATTTTGGTAAGTTCCTACCACAGTTCCAGTCGTGCCTGGGACGTTTTCAGCACCCAGTGGAGAGGGACACCATATCTTTTTGGCATTTCGGTTCTAGTCTCGGAAATTTCAAGTGTAAACATATTTTCTCGGGCCTGGATGGGCGATGAAATTGTCTCTGCTTTGTCCCTTTTCCTAATGCCAAGCTGTAGATAGTCATTATAATGTCCGAGCTTTGTATAAACAGATCAGCACTGGGTGGTATTTGCAATTACATTACATCATGTGCCCTATAGTTGAAAGTAAATAGTCTCTTTATTGCGAATAAGTGGAGCAGGGTCACGGTTCCTGTGGCAAACACGGGCCTCTGTTGCCAAGAGGACAAGCGATCATGCTGTTACATGTCTTCCCCCATTCTGTTTGCATTCATACAGCTCCATTCGCGTCGGCTCCCGCTTTTGTAATAAGTGACTCTCCTCTCTGGCGAGTGTCCCAGGCAGCTGCTTTGTGACCAGAGCTAAGTGCTTCCCACTCGCTGCATGTGTCTGCCCGGTGGTCCTGTTCTGAGGGCGATCAGCCCAATCTAAATTCTGAACTAGGAGGGGGACCTGGTTTGTCTTCCCCAAATGCTTCCAGCCAGTTTCCCTTGTTTTGTTGGTTTTCTTCAACACCCACCCTAAAGAAGACGAGGGAATAGCATTCTTGCCCATTTGAGAACACTGTGCTTGTACATTTTAAGGAACCATTGATTTTTTTTTTTTTTTTCCTTGTGGGATATATTTATGGGGGAGAAGCTCTTATAACCATGTGTGAATTTGACTTAACACAGGAGCTGTATTAAGGAGTTCAGAACAGCTTAAATGGAAACAGTGTGAATTGTATTTTTAAAACATTTTAACTCCTGTGTCTGTATCTTGGATTAGGGTCTCATTCGCTGTTCACGGTTTTTAAAACTTAACTTTTCTTTGGTTAACTCCAGAGCTCCCACGGACCCAGACCGATTACGAGAACAGCCTCACCATGAAGATGTTCTTGTTCCAGTTTGTCAACTACTACTCCTCGTGTTTCTACATCGCCTTCTTCAAGGGCAAATTTGTAGGTTATCCCGGAGACCCAGTGTACTGGCTGGGAAAATACAGGAATGAAGAGGTATGAACGCAGAATTGTATTCTCTCGACAATTGAAGATAGTTTCTTCATTGTGCATGCTTAGATTTTTTTTTTTTAAGCCTAAAGGGAGAAGATCGGAAAGAATTAAAATGAATGATTCTGTTTCGTGTTAGAGCCATCTGATTTCTAAATGAGGTTCTTTTCAATATTCCAGTGTGACCCAGGTGGCTGTCTCCTTGAACTGACAACGCAGCTGGCAATCATCATGGGAGGAAAGGCAATCTGGAATAACATACAAGAGGTGTTACTTCCGTGAGTATCAGGTCGTGTATTGGGATGTGGGACAGGGGATAACGTAGCCCACCCAGTCAAGTCTTTGGCCTCCATGTCCACGTAACTGCTTGCCTACCTCAAAGGTAACGTAGACTCGGTGCTTATTAAATGTCTCCGGACAAGATGGGTCCAACCAACAGTGTGAACATGTCCGTGTTTACACCTTCATTTCCCGTAAGCCCAAATGGTTACAGTCGTAGGGACCTGAAGTTTGCCTTTGGATATTTCTTCTCCCGACTTAAAACAGTGTGTTGTGAATCGTCTTTTCTCCTGCTTGAAAACTGGGAATGCGAAGTGTTAGCTAAGTTGGAGAGTGACTCAGGCTCTTCACATCACTGCTTCTTCTCTGTGTATAGATGTGAGTGTCCTTCCAACTCTTTCAGACAAAACTCGAACACACTAAAGATATGTTAGTTACTCTTGCTACCCAGTGCTGCCCCCATCCCAAAAATACATCAGGAGGGAAAGAAAAGCCTTTTAAGTCAGTGGCTCTTTTCACACTATTTAAATGTCTCCTAGTGAAATGGATTCCACTGTAAATGTACCTTTTTCTCCCCCGCTCCCCCGTCCCCGCCCCGACCCCTCCAGCCCCAGCCCACTTGGGCCCTTGGCTAGGACCAAGAGTAAGAGAAGCAGCATACCCGGCACTGTGCCCGAGGTTCCAGTTGGGTCTCATCAGCACCTGGTGTTCAATAGGCACTCAGCGCCCACTGAGGGAATGAGTGACTCATATGCCTTAAATCCATACTTAATAGAATTAGTAAGTTAATAGAAATGTTTGTTGCACTCAGACAACAAGCTCAGAGCTCCTCGGCCTTCCTGGCCTCACTTGATGTTGGAGGCAGCCCTGGGAATTCTGTTCCAGACATCCTTAACAAAAGGCTGGTGCAATATCTGCATTAAGCAACTCACTCTGGAGAGATTTTTTATGATAAAATGTTAAGGAAAATAATTAAAGTTAAATATACAAAATGCCAACAACATCATCCTTTGGTCAAAGTTTAGATAATAGATGGCTGTAATTTTCTTCCTTTATGTTTTCTGTACTTTCCTCAATGGGTACGGACTACTTACAAAAAAAGTGAACGATTCCCTTGAGAAGAGATGTGTGCATTGGCTAGAGGGGGGAACCAGAGACCTACAGTAAGAGAGCCCTGAATACAGGTATCCCTCACTGCTTTTTAAATTCAGGAACAGTATAAACTCAGGCATGAAATAGCTCCATGGAGGAAAGGGTGCTTGTGTTCAAAGTTAGCGAAGTGGGAATCCTATAGAACATTCAATGCACACATGGTGATTTTCTGCCGTATGTGGATTAAATGTAATAACGAAGATCAAAGAGAAAATGAGGTACAAAGTACTTCACACTGCGCTCTGCACCTAATAAAGGCTTTGTAGAAAGCAACTTATTACGATGCTGTTATGCTAATGAGCCTGGTACATTCCTAGGAAAATAATTCAGTAACCCCTGCTGGAGGGAGGAAGCAGCCATGTGCAGCCATGGCCAGGGGAAGAAGCGTCTGGTATCTGTACTTAAAAATTGCTCTAGGCAAGTCTCACGTGCAGTCAAGACGGCTGTCCCTGCACTAAAATCATGACCCAGCAGATAACCTAACAGACCAGAGGCAGCGATGGACGGACTACAGCCTGAGATTTCCTTCCACGGATGAGTGGCTCACGCAGGAAGAGTGAACAAGAGGCTTAGCCTCTGTAGCTCTGGAAGGAAAGCTCTTCAGAGAGACTGTGACCTCTGACGTGACTAGTTCTGGGTGAGAGAAGGCAGGACAGCAAGTACCAGAAGGAAGCGTCTCACGAGTCAGTCATGCCAGGACAGAATCCAAACTGTGATGGATTTGGGATCCCAGTAGTAAAAGACCTGCCTCTCTGGGCCCCAGAGAGGATTCAGCAAGAGGCTGAGGCTGGACGTGTGAGGCAGAGCAAAACAGGAGCCAATCAAAGCCAGTAATCTCGAGTTTGGTGTCAGCAGGGGTGATGGACACGTGTGGTCCCTGGTGCCACCTGCGTCACAAAGACGCCTGTAAAACCGCAGATTCCCAGACTTGGCGGGTTTCAGAGCTTTGGGCTGGAGCCTAGGAAGTAGCACTAGCAACTAGCGTTGTGTTTTTCTCGTAAGGGCTGGAGCGAGATCCGCCGACCCAGACAGTGCTTCGTCCCCAAGCCAAGTTCTAAATCACTTAGGCCTGGGTTGGACCAAAACGAATGTGTTGGGGTTTGAGATGTTCGGAAGTGGCTAAATGCTTTACCCATTTTGAATCATTCAATCCTGACAGCAACCCTGGGCAGGGTAGGGTTAATCACCCCATTTGATTTGAACTTGACCAGAGGTACATAGTGACTAAGCAGGGAAGTGTGGATTCAGATTCAAGGGGTGTTTGCGTCCACATCCCCCCACCTCCCACAGCCTGCTGCTTCGTCCCTAACGCCATAGAAGAGGAAGCAGTGGGGGAGGATCGTGAAGCCAGGGGCATGTTGATGGTAGAGAAATCTCCCTTCGTGAACCTCAAGGAATGGTCAGTGCGGAGTTAATGCTGAAATCAGTAGCAGTGGGAAACCCAGCATGGTGAGCTAGTCATACCTTACCGTGTGTGTGTGTGTGTGTGTGTGTGTGTCCACATGTGTGCATGTACATGCAATATATACAGCCGCCTTTACTTAGTGGGAAGCCTTCTCACTGTCTGAATGTGAAATCCATGTAAGCATGGTGTTCCTTCAGCCGGGCTCAGTCAGATGTCTGTGTCTGCATTTGGAGTTTGCTGTTGTGGCTCCTCCTCCAATGAACACCATGGGGAAACCACAAGCCCCGCTGCTCTAGGGGACAACGGTTCTCCCAGCTGCAGGTGCACCCTCAGGTCGCTGCCAACTCCCACTTCTCTTCAGGACGAATTGTCATGAAAAGGGGAGCATTTATCTGGGCCACCAGGTTTTGAGGAAGAAGAAAACACAACATAGAAGGAGGACAGCAGACAGCACTGCGGGGACAGTGTGCAGCAATGGGCAGAGCACTGGGCCACCACAGCCGTCTCCTCCTCGCTCTGCACAGTGACTTCCAGGAAGTTGATCTGTCCAGCTTGGCATAGCATCTTAGAGCTGTTTTATCCAATCTCAAACTATGTCACTTTTCTCTGTGTCCCTCAGTGGCTCCCCAGTTCCCTCAGAGTAAAAATCACCCAAATCCTCACAATGGTCTCTATGCCCCTTTGCCTTCTCTTTTGTTGTTGTTAATCTTCACTCAAGGATATTTTTTCCACTGATTTTTTTTTCTTTTTGTTTTTGTTTTTTTTTTAGGGGAAAAAAAGAGGGAGAGAGAGAAAGGAACATCGGTGTGAGAGACATAGATTGGTTGTCTTCCACACACGCCCTGACCAGGGCCAGAGATGGAACTTATGCATGCCCTTAACCAGGAATCAAACCCAAGAACCTTCTGGGTGCAGTCCAATGCTCTCACCACTGCTCAGTGGCACCCTTTTACCTTCTTAATATCTCTTTTCAAATGTTACTTTTAATAAACCAATTTTATTAAAATTGCCACCACCCCACTCCCTACCACAAATGCAAACACTTTTTCTCCACAGCACTTATCACCAGCTCACAATCTGTGTCTTTGTTTTTCTCTGGAAAGACAATTTTGTATAATAACATAGAAATGGGGGGGGGGGACAAAGTTAATCAAAAGAGGGGAAACATCTTTGAACTGAACTGCCTATAGGAAAGGAGCTAAAAGAAAACGTAGCAGTTATTATATAATTTTGATACACCGAGGTACACAGTCAAAGCCCAAGATGTATTTATTGGGCAGATAATGCATTCATCTTGAGATGTCACTGAATGCTTTTATGACCTGGTCTGATAATAACTTACCATTGGTTCTTTTGGCAGCTGGGTCAAGAATCTAATTGGTCGATGCCGCACGGTTTCGGGTTCGGAAAAGATAACCCCGCGATGGGAACAGGACTACCATCTGCAACTCATGGGAAGACTGGGACTATTTTACGAGTATCTTGAAATGAGTAAGTCACAAGTGATACTTTAGATGATATAAGTTATAATGGAGCATGTTTTGGATCCCAGAAGTCATTATTATCAAGCCAAATAACGATCTAGCACTGTGGTCGGCAAACAGCAGCTCACGAGCCACATGCGGCTCTTTGGCCCCTTGAGTGTGGCTCTTGCACAAAATACCACGGCCTCAGCAAGTCTATTTTGAAGAAATGGCATTAGAAGTTTTAAAAAAATTTGGCTCTCAAAAGAAATTTCAATCGTTGTACTGTTGATTTTGGCTCTGTTGACTAATGAGTTTGCCTACCATGGATCTAGCCTATTAAAATGGGATATGTTTTCCTCCATTTGAAAGGCTGATTACATAGCTTTATATAATCAGGCTTTCACATAAGGTGACTGTGTGTATCTTTGTTGTACAGAGTTAAAGATGTATGACTGATGAAATGGAGTAGTCATTGAGTTCATCTTCACCTGTAGTTTTCGGGGCATTCTAACCATGTTGTCTGAGAGCTGCTTGTCCCAGAGGCAATACAGGGTCCCCCCTGCCTGCTTTCACACCTGCCCCTGGCAACGTATCTATTCCTTCGGGCCGGTGGTTCCTTGAGTGACCTCATGACTCACCACTGGCTTGAATCCAGAACCACTTGGCTGGTCTGGAATTAAGATTTAGCACAGGCCTCCTCCTTCTTGTTGGCCTTTGTCCATTTGTGGAGTGTTTGCTTGGGCTCTGTTTCTCTTCAGTTGAATTGGATTTTGAGCTCTTGGTTGCCTTTAAATGGATGCACCTCAAAATAGATTGCCAACATCTTTTCTATTATGCATGGCACGCTTATATCTGTCAGAAGGCTAACAATGTGTATGTTTTGTATCTGTGCCCTTTCAGCTAACCATTGTAATGAATTACAGTTCCTTAAGCTTAGGAAAATAGAACAGGAGGCACAGCACGGTGGGTGACAGACCTTGCGTTTATGCAAAGGAGCCTGTGTGTTTGCAGACACCCTTTGTGGTTCCTGTTTACGCGTCCGCAGAGAGAGAGGGTGGCTTTTATTAAATCCCATTCTATATATAAAATAATTGCTTGTAAAAATACATGTTATCCATGGAAACACAGCTGCTCCCTTCAGTGAGTGAAAGGTTCATCTTGGAGCTTCTACAGTCAGCAACACTTTGCAGCCTGGAGTCGGATTTGAATTTCCTATTTGCTTCTGTTGTGTTTTGTGGCCAGGTTCAATTAAGGGTGTAGCTGCCATACATAATGCAGAAGCTATGTTTATTCCGTTTATTTCCAGAAGGACTTTCAAGACACTTACCTGTTGTTCTAAAATGAGTCATAATTATAAATATTTCATGTGGAGCCATTATCAGCATTAATAACAGCTTTCTGGGGCAGAATGTCATTTGCTATTTTAGCACCAATAAAAGTTGGGGAGGGGAGGGGAAGGAAGTTATTTTCCTGGAGTTGATTAGTCAAACCAGTGACATTGAGAGGAAACATTACAGGGTTGAGGCTTGATGGGACCTTTAGGGTTTCCTACTCTCATTAAAATAATTTCCAACTAAATAATTTGGCCTCACCCTACCTTATAAGGTGAAATAACAACTATTATAGATGGGGTTTTGTTTTTTTTTAGATTTATTAAATTATTTTCCTATTATCTAAATAATACCTAATGAATTAGAAAATTTAATCACTTTATAAGAGTAGGCAGTCCGTTATTCCGTCTTCAACTCCAGAGTGAAATTGATCATGTTGTGGGTGATAGAATTCCCAAGTCTTTTGAATTATTTTTGTTTTTTCTAAGGAGAGAGCCTTTGGTGGTGGTCTCATCACCACAGTTTCTCCTCGCTTCCTGTTTCCCATGTCATGACGATATCGCCATCTACCTGTTCAGTTACGAAGGGAAACACCTTCCGACAAACAACCCTGGAGTCTCCACCCTTGCATAAGCCTTGCCCAGGCCGAAATACCTGCCTTCAGTTCTGTCTGAAGAATTCCTGCCAGGCTCCCAAGTGACCCTTCCCTTTCCACATACACTAGCTGCCCTCTTCTCGGGCCTTAGCTAAACCCCTGAGGGGAGTAGTGACTGCGCATGCCTCTCCCTGCCAGCCTGCTCCCCAAGGAGGGAGCTGCGAGGCCTCTGCTTCTCTCAGTCGCAGCTGGACCACCACCTCCTGGCCCTCGTCTCACAGTCATTTAAGGGACCTGAGCTTGGAGTTTCAACACACACATCCCACTATGAGTGGAATTTACATTAAGATTGCCCCAGCTACCCCCACCAAGTTCCGTAGGGCATAGGTTTTTGTTTTTGTTTTTTTTGGGGGGGGGTGCAGGGGTTAGGGCTGCGGCAGTGGCGGCGAGGGGTGGAGAAAGACTCAGTGTAGGTACTTCAAGAAACTTGACTTGAAAGTGATGCAGAAAGCATGGAAAGTATTAGCATGTTGGTCATGAAGAAGCGCCAGGGGAGGGTTACCTTTGTTTTCCCGATGGGTGTTTTTGCCTTGCTGAATTGAATTGATAGGCTGGTACTTTCTCTTTCTTGCTTGCTTTCAAATGTTATTCTCACTTCAATATCAGAACAGACTATACCATCTGGAATTGATTTTGGTGTCAAAAGTGAGGACTCTATGCCAGTTGTTCCAGTGTGGAGCTAATCGCTCCTTGCTCGAATCTACTGATTTGAAGTATCATATTTATAATACATTAAAACCCCATGAATATCTTCATCTCTTCTTGAAATCTATTCTGTATAATTCATACTATCTACTAGTGCACCTGCGATAAACTGTTCCAATTATCATAGCACTGTAATATGCATTAACATCTCGTAGAGCCAGTCTCGTTTTGTTGTTTTTCAGGATGTCCCTAACACTGTCAGTTCACACGTTCCTCCTATTGTTTCATTTGTGTATATTTCTTTAAAAATTACAGCATCGCTTTTTAGCTTTTTTTTTTTTATTCATTTGGGATTATTAACTAAATTTGCATTCAAATGCTAATTTATATTTTAGAGGAAAAAAATGATATGACCCCAAAGTTGAGTCTGCACATCATTTATTTATTCATCATTATTTGTTTTACCTTGTTTTTTAAAGTTATTGTAAGAGTCTTAACATTTCTCACTAATTTATTTCTAAATCATCTGTACTTTTGTTGTCATTATAAATGGTATCTTTTCCTTTTTGGGGTGTTTAGCTGAGCTTCTTGTCAATCTAGTCCGAATTTCTGGCTTCCCTGGAATCGTGAGGTCTGGCAGCTGTGAGTGGTCCCTTCCTTAGGGCACGCACTTGCCAGTTCCCACCTGCAGGGGGTTGAGTTCATTCAGGGTTGTATGAGTCATAGACACAAACATTGACATCACTGCTTGATGCTGTGCTGTTGAAGATGACATCACCAACTCTAGTCCTTGCTTGTCTGATTTCCCTGAACATGTCCCCACCTGGCTGTACCACACCCTGCCTCTGAGACCAGCAGCCATAGCCTGCTCCTTCTGCCCAGCCACCCTGCACAGCCTGGCCCTTCCTGGCCAGAGTGGTCCCTGCCCGTTGTCTAAGTGGGAACCCTAAAAGGGCTGACATTCTCCCCTCCTCCACAGTCTTACTTGCATGCTACACTAGTTTACTTTAAAGGTCTGCCAGTTAGGAGGGAAGAGTCTAAAACGGAACATAATATTGTAGAGTTCATATAGTGTACGCCACATAAATAATAGGCAAGAGGAGAACTTCTAAGTCGCCACTTGTATCTTGACTTACGGTGATCACATCAACTGCGACAACTTCAAGATAAGACTTACTCAGGAAGGATTATATTTTACCTTAAGACACGTTTGCCACGGACATTTCTGTGATGTGTGGTAATACCTCAACTTCTTTGACAGACTCGGAGGAGCTTGCTCATTTGCCTGTTTCCAGCATATTTCCTCCACTGTCTCTAAGCAGAATCTTACAAAGGTGCATGTCTTATTTCTTTTTAGCTTGTTAGGTACTGCCACAGTGTTTTCTCCTTTTCAATCCTAAACCACAAATCATCTTCCAACATTCTATTATTTCAACATTGAGAATGAATAATATGCTTAGAGTGTCCCAGGTTCATTTGCCAGCAAATAGCTTGGGTTGATGAAAGGTGTTTAAATATATTATTCCTACTAAGTATATAAATGTGAAAGAAACAGACTATAATTCATCTTTTCCCTTGGAGATCTCATATTTGTGTTTTAATTATTTCGCTGTTAAATATTACCAGTGCCACAAATGTCTGTTCTTTTCGGGGGTTAGTTTGTTGTTTGCCGTTGTCTTCCCATCCCTCCACCATCCATGATGTGTGTCCATTTCATTGACAGTTATTCAGTTTGGCTTTGTCACCTTATTTGTGGCCTCTTTTCCACTGGCCCCTCTGTTGGCTCTGGTGAACAATATATTGGAGATAAGAGTGGACGCGTGGAAAATGACTACCCAGTACCGACGCATGGTGCCAGAAAAAGCCCAGGACATCGGAGCGTGGCAGCCCATCATGCAAGGAATCGCAATTCTGGCTGTGGTGACCAACGTGAGTAAAACCGAGGTCACGGGATCAAAGTCATTGAAAAGGCCAAAAATACATTAGTATTAATTGCTACCTGAGGAATCAGATGCTTGGTATTTCTTAAAATGGGAGAAAGATGCCAAGACTGTCATTCATATCAACAACATAGTTGTAATAGTTATAATTTGTTCATATTTTTAATGTATTCTATTTATAATAAGGACTCATGACTTACAAAGTCAAGACCTCTTACTGAGGCAGTTGCTAAGAAGACATATTATTGTTGCACATGTGCTGAAGTTTTTATTCCCTGTAAACATGGTAATAGTAATAACAAACACTGACTTTTAATCCTCACATGACTGTAAAAGGAATTATCCAAAAGTGCTTTTATAAGGAAGATAAAAATCTATCCATTTAAATGTGAGGACCCTAAAATAGCGGCTATCATTCCATCATAATTTACCATCTATTCCTATTTATAAACGTAAAATATTAACTGTTTGGTGGTGAAATATAAACACTTCGTGCATTCCCAGTGACCCTTCCCTGTCTCCTCGGACAGGTTCTTTCAGGAGCAGGTCCCATCTCTCCACCCCACCCGCCCTTTAGTCACTGCGAGCCACTCTGGTTATTAGCTTAGCTGCCTCATACCCTGCGTGTATCCCGCTGTGAGGGAACAGAATTCAGTTGTTTACAACCTGTACTGATTATGCACCTGTCTGATCTCTCTCTCTCCTCTCCCTCACTCTCTATCTCTCTATCTCTCTCTCTGTCTCTCTATCTCTCTGTCTCTTTCCCAATAAGCAACAGGAAGCTGTCAGGCAGACCAATTTCCATGCCAGCTTATCACGGGACCTTCTGCCCCAGAAGTACTCTACAACCAGGCTATTCCTTCCCTTATTTCACAGCCAACTTCACTCCCAGGTTGCAATCCCCAGCAACATGATATCCTGGTTTTAACTTATTAATCAAGCCACATTTGCCCTGAGTCCCTAGCCTTTTCCCAGAAGCACTTACAGAAACAGAACCGAATTCAGCAGCGCCTGTGGGCCAGGCTCCTGGACGGGGAGGGAGGCCGAGCACTGCAGGCTCTGGGGTCAGACCCGAGCTCCAGCTCCCAGCTCTGCAGCATCCCAGCTGCCCCACCTTGGGCCAGGCCTTAACGCTCCCAGCTCGTTTCATCATGTGTAAATTGAATAATTCCCAATCACACCCTTTAAGACTATCAGATGCCACGAAGGGCGGTTAGGGAACTCAGTGAGTTAATGCGTGGAAGGCTCGGCAGGGCCCGGGCTTCCTGGAATGTTAGTTGCCGCCGTTTATCCTCTACATCATTCACAGTGACTTCGTGGAGACATGGACAGGTGTCCAAGCTAGAGGCACAAGAATTTAACAATGGGCTACTGTCTGGACCACGCTTAGTTATAGCTCTCTGGAATCCAGCTGTCACCCCCAGAGCCCTCCATTTATCTGAATTGCCATCCTCCTTTTTGGAGAAAGTTGCAAACCGCACACACTCAAAAAGCAACAAATAGGTTCTGCGAGCGTCCATTCCCCCAGAGAGCCCACAACTTCCACATCCACGGCGCTGCGAAATGCAGACGGATGTGCAGAAATAGGACAGGGAGGCTGCCAGTTCCACAGCCATAAGAGAATGAATCTGTCATGTTCAATACGCCACACGGCACTAAGCGGGGCGGGAGCGCGGACTCGGGTGCTTTAGCGATGTTTTCAAGCAACAAGGTTTGAAACCAAAAGCATTTTTGTTTGACCTTCGGCTAACCAGAAAATTAAGTTGAGTCATACTCCCCGTTCCTCAAGCGTCTGGTTTGATTGTATCAGGCACCTTGTCCTAGTATCCCCAGCCTGGCTCCACTCCATCCGCGCAGATGGAGTACTGGCTGTGTTTCCAGGGCGACCCTCTGTGTGTGTACGCGTGTGTGCACACATGGGCACACGCATGTGTACTCATGGTGCTGCTGGTTCTTCATAGGTGTCATTTCTTTATATATATATATATATATTTTTTGTTGTTGTTGTTGTTGTTGTTGTTGTTGTTTTTACAGAGAGGAAGAGAGAGGAATAGAGAGTTAGAAACATCGATGAGAGAGAATCATTGATCAGCTGCCTCTTGCACACTCCCTACTGGTGATGTGCCTGCAAGCAACCAAGGTACATGCCCTTGACCAGAATCGAACCTGGGACCTTTCAGTCTGCAGGCTGACGCACTATCCACTGAGTCAAACTGGTTTCGGAAAGCATCATTTCTTGCACATGTATATTATCACCTCAGCTACCTAATGTGTGCTTCCCCAGTCTAACATGCACAAGAAGGGCTCACTTTCCAAAATAGGGGAACTTTTAACTGTAGGAAGAAGAGAGTAGCTAGCAGGGATGAAAATGGACATTACGCAGGAGTTTGGTATACAGTCGTTCATTTTAAAGCTGCTCGCTCAATAAATAAGCTGCACTGACATTGTTGTATTGTGCCAGAGCATCTGCTATTGAAGACCAATTTTAATTTATTTTTACATAAAAGGAGAACTGTGTTAGGAACAGCATGTGAAATGAAGCACTGCATTTATTTGTACCATAGCAGCGTGTCTCAAAGGAGCTCAATTCAGGAGAAAGCATCTTGTCTGAAGATAATAGAATTAACTTCCTTGTCGGAATGTTTGTAGCTCCCTAAAGCACATCTGCAGGTGATTCTCTAAAAAGCTACAGTTGAGTAAAATAACAAAAATATTCTTGCCTTATACCATCACCACCACACACAGAAGTATTTCACTTTGGGGGAAATTTTGCAATACAAATGCCCCTTATTTGTTTTCCTAGTTTGCCTGAGATCTTGTTTGTTGACTTGTGGTCTCACTATATCTATATAAAGCATATGTTCCTATGAATACTCTTAAAAATCATAGCGTGCCAAAAAACATGACTGTTCTTCTGCTTCAGTAAATGCCCAAATCAGTGAGCTTTGTTTAGTCACATAGAATTTGGGTTAAAAACTTTGAGAAAATTCATGTAATTCATAGTAGCTTTCCTTCTCAGTAGATGTCTGCCTATCTGCCTATCTGCCTAGTGTAGACCCCGTTTAACTTTGCCCCATACTTATTCCTTTAATCTGGAAACACACTAAACTTTGTTAGTTAATAATTTATTATGTTCACAACTTTATTATTTTGGAAGTTTAGAGGCTTAGATACTATATTTAACAAAACAGGTTATACTTGACTATGTGAATGAAGCAACCCAAAATAAGTGGGTTTTTTTATTTGTTTGTTTTCTACATTTTAATAACATTAATTTAAAAATAGATGCTCTCTAATGAAGCATCTTCCATAAGTATATACTGACAGTTTAAAATAAATCAGATTACAGACTGACTTGTCTGAACAAGTCTAGATACTACAGAGTAAAAGCATGAATTTAAAGGCCATTAACTTAGATCAAGGAAAATATATTTTATGCAGCTTATATTCCTATTTTAAAATCAGTTTTGTATTAATTATTTACACTACAAAAGAATTATATAGAGTCAACTTATTTTTAGAATGTTGACCTCAGTATAACACCTTCTCATCTAAATCATAAAAGATTTAGATTATATTGAATAGAGCGCCAAGGTTGATTGAATTTTGTTATATTCTAATTCTTGAAAAAAAAATTCACGTACATTATATGTGCAAACAGCTCTTGATTTATCCACAATATCAGAATCCACAATTATTCTTACTGTACTTAACATCTCAGGCACCTACAGGCCTTGCTTTTGAACTGTAAATAAGACTTCTGCACGTTTTTTAGAATTGAAGACCAAAAGGAAAGGAACTTTTCTACTTTAAAGCAACTGCTCAAAGATTTTAGGATATTCACTCTCTATACCCACTTGTTATAGATATACTAGTTAGGAAAGAATTAAGGTTTCTTAATCTTTAATTTTAAAAACAATCAACTGATAAAAATGTAATTCTGGCATCTTTGTTAACCATACTTAAAAGGTCTCTAAATTAATGCCCCCCTCTCATTTTCCTCCCAACACAGGCAATGATTATTGCTTTCACGTCAGACATGATCCCCCGCCTGGTGTATTACTGGTCCTTTTCTGTCCCACCTTATGGAGACCACACCCAATTCACCATGGTGGGATACATCAACAATACTCTCTCCATCTTCAACATCGCAGACTTCAAAAACAGAAGCAAGGGAAATCCATACATTGGGCTTGGTAACTACACCACGTGCAGGCAAGTTTTGCTTATGTGTATGAAAATGCATTTCATCTTATGACTTTTATTGTAAGGCAATTCTATTTGGTATAATTTAAGTAAAATAGCTACAGATATCTTTTCCTGGCTTTCTTTTCTCTCAAACTTAAAGGATAATACATAAAAATTAATACAGACTAGGGTGAGAGTTTCCAATCATAAAGCAAGGTTTAAAGGTAAGAATTTCAAATGATTACAGGGAGACTGATCCCAAAGAAAAGCATGATATTGAATAGTTTAGAAAGAAGAAACTTAAGAGTTCCAAAAAGCAAGGTAATTCATTTGTCATGACTAATGTGTTATTAAGCGCAACCTGACAACATTGAATGATGACAAACTAACTCTCTTCATTTAACAAAAAAATGCAAATACCTCCACCTAATCAGCAATATTCTCTAAAGGTATTCCAAAGTGCTCTACATTTATTTTAATGGCTGTTGGGATCAACTGTGGACAGTATATGTGAACTAAATTACCCCTTGATAAAGTCTGTTGACTACAGATCATTGAGTAATTTTTTTCCCCCAATCAGTGACTTAAACCTTAAGGAGGATTTAAAATTTATTTAGTTCTACTCAAAGCCTTCTTCACTTCGGATTCTCAACAACACAACCAAGAAACCAGAAATAAGCCTCAAATAAATGTTTCAATTTTACACATAGTAGAGCTTCTTCAGAATTCCACATTGAATCTCCTTTATATAATTCCAGAGAGTAATTAAACTCTTCTAGGTCTAATAGGTTACAGGAAGAAAATTAGAGGTGAGCTACTTAAGGGAGAGTCACTAACAGCAGTAGCACATGGCATCTGACCACAAGGAAATGAGCAAGACACTTATAACAAGCAGATGGGACTCTCAGTAGGAGGGAAGAACCCCATAGCTGAGTGAACACTGATAGCATCATTATATAAATAAATTTATAAATATATTTCAGAAAATGCACTCAATTCTTTTAGTGATATAGTCTTAAGAAAGCAAGGATAAAACACTAGGGGGAAAATGTACAACCCCTTCGTTCTCCTTTTACAAAGATGAGATCTGTCGTTCCCATCATTTTCCTATATCACTGGAAGAGCATTTCAGGGTTTTGTTACCAAACTGAACTCTTGGAGAATATTTATGTGATGTACAACTTTAAAAAACCATTGTTTTAAATATGACGTCTTCCTAAAGGGGCCCATTGGATCAAAAAGAATGACCTCCTGACTTGCCTCCTCTGTGTTTCCAGGTATCGTGATTTCCGGTACCCTCCCGGGCACCCTCAGGAGTATAAACACAACATCTACTACTGGCACGTGATCGCGGCCAAGCTGGCTTTCATCATCGTCATGGAGGTAGGAGAAGCAGACAGACTTGGAAATAATTTATACGGCTATAAATATGCATACCTTTTATCAGCTTTAAGTGTTGCTGACTCTGACTTAAAATGTATAATACATTCTTATCGCTTGCTAACAATTATTTTAGGACACGTATTAATCAAATTTGACCTGAGAATACCCATAAAGCTCACATTAATTAAATGAAGTTGCTTATCTGTTCTAAAAGTTAAAAGCATGTTGTCATAAGAGGATTCAATTCTTTTCAATTCAGTATGGAGTGTCTTTGGTAGGGGGTGGGGCACGGAGCTCACATGTTAGGCTGAGGAGGAGCTTATTCAAAATGAATAAGATGTGATCTCTGCCCTTGAGAAACTTATTGCTATAATAGTTTTACTTGTATTATTATATATATTAATTTTCATAAAATGCCTTCTTATAACATTTTTATATCTTTATATTCTTAAAGTTAACCAGCTCTGAAAAACGATTAAGGCAGCTATACATTTGAAATTGATCTAGTCAGCTTTACTTTTTACACTGGGTGAACAGCTACTACCAAATTCCAGAGCCTCAGAAATTGCTTGCTATGGTCAGTTAGGATTACATTTAGCTACAAGAAATAGAAAATCCATCTGCAGTAACTTAAACAAATAAGGGTTGATTTTTCTCACATAAACTTTGCTGGAAGTAGGTGATTGCTCCTGAGTCAATACCAGCTCACTGACACAAGGAGCATGGCTCTGATTTTCTAGGTTTTCTCCCGTTCCGTGCCACTTTATGGTTGCAGTATGATGACTGCAATTCCAGGTAATAGGTGTATGTCCTGGGTCAGAAGGAGAAGAGGGACAATGCTAGCCATATCTGTTCCTTTTTGTCAGGAAAGAAAATACTTTGCCAAAACTCCCAGGGCAGACTTCCATGCACATTTCATTGGCTAGATTTATAACGAAGGATTCCTCCTCACAGCAAAGAATGCTGAGACAGGAGGTATTTGGTTTGCTCTGAATAAAACCATCATTTGTTAGCAAGAATGAATGGGATCGGGTACCTGGCTTTGATCATTTTTCTAGTATTTTTTAATAGTTACCAAATACTAATAGAAGAAGAAAATAATTCACCGCTAGCTCATTATAAGTGGGTTCTAGAAGTACTGTGTCTGGTATACAGCAAGAGTTCCTAGTTTATATTCAAGTATGTCATTACCAAAGTGTTTAGGCTTCTACTTTTGATCGCATGGTATACTAGTGACTGTGAGGAGCCATCGCACTACAAAATATTTAAAATGATCTTAAAACATAGTTTCCTTTGCTTTTGAGCTCACAAGAAGGGAGGAGAATCTGCAAGAGGAAAGAAGAAAAGGTGATGGGGCTAAAATAAAGTATTGAGCAGCGAGTACCCCTGAACTGAAGTTTAGCAATGCTCTGAAAACCAGTGCAATTATCAGTGTCTCCATCAAAAATCTCAAGGAGGCCACAACTGTGGTCAGAGCAGGTGGAAGAGCTGAGCTTGTGACTCTTAGATTCAAGAAATGTATATCTTCTCTATAAAAAAGTGATTTTTTTTTCAACTTAGATCCCAGGTTTTTCTCAAATTGAAATAATCAAGATGAGCTTACATTGGTCAACAGGCTTCCAGTCAACATGGTGGCTTACGTAAATGCTGTAATCGCCTCCTCCCATGACCACTTCAGAATTACAACTAAACTACAGAACATCCATCACTGAGGACCACCTGAAGCCCAGCTGAACAGAAATTCTATCACTTAGGATATTGAGAAGAAATTGCCTCAGGATTGGTAGGAGCAGCCGAAGTCCCCCCTGGAGGAATGAAGGGTTTCAACTCCCCTGGCAGGGGTTTCAGGGCCCAGAAGAGAAGTCCCCATAAATTCTGGCTGTGAAAATCAGCAGAGGTTGTGGCTGAGTGAGATGGAGGGCTGTTAGGGTCCCAGGCATTTCTCTTTAAAGATACAGTGCACAGGCTTATTTGGATTCACTTGCTTTGAGATCCAGTGCTGGGACAGGAGCTCAAAAGGAATCAGGGGACATACCTGGAGGAACTGAATTATCTGGCATCAAAGCACGAGCTAGAGGCTGCTTTTTCCTAACAGAAGCCATTGTTCCTTTGCTGAGTGCTCCCCCTCAGGTGCAGACTGATGCCATACCTGAGTTTCCTGCAACCTGGCTAATGCAGTTGTCCCTGCCCTTGTGATTCCCTGAGACCTCGCCCCACCCAAGTTTCTGGTCCCCCAAGCTGAGTTCAGTGGCTTTCCCTTACAAACAGCCTGTCTAAAATCTCTCAAAGTTTTACAAATCCTCAACAAGCAACATCTGGCCTCAGTGTGCCCCATACCTCTTACTAAGTGACCCTAAAAATAGCACTGGAGGCATAAGGCTTCAGTTCAGGGCTTAGCCTCTCCCAGATACTTCCAAGCCTGGAACAAGTGGCAACCATCAACAGATCACTTTATAGCTCATAGCAGGTAGCCTCAGGCAGGGCACAGGCAGCAGCTGATCTTGGCCTGCACCCCCCGAAATCCCTCAGAAGCAACATACCCTGGAGGCAACTTCAGACCACACCAGAGCAACACCCAATCACCTCCACAAATGGCAGGCTCAGTAAGCACCAGAACCCCACAAAAGCAAATCCTGGTATGAAGGATCATCCCACACACAACAGCTCCTCCACTGGAGTCACAACCAGTCCTTACAACCAGTTAGCCTGAGGGTTAGTCCCTCTAAACAACAATCAAGGCTCAAATACAATAGGAGGGTACACACAACCCCACAAGGAACACACCTGGAGCTCCGGGTCAGGTGACAAGGGAGACTTTGCCACTGGGCCCCACAGAACAACAACTACCTGAGGCCACTCTTCCAAGACCCTGAGATGTAACAGCTCTACCTAAAACATAGAAACACAAGGAGTTGGGCAAAACGGGGAGACAAAGAACATGCCCCAAATAAAGAGAGAAACCTCCAAAAAAAATAACTAAATGAAATGGAGGCAGGCATTCTATCTGATACAAAGTTCAAAACAATGGTTACAAGGATGCTTGAGGAACTTAGAACTTCAGAGCATAAAAGAGGACATAGAAACTACACACACACACACACACACACACACACACACACACAGAAATGAAAAATATATTAAGAGCAGTGGTTCCCAACCCTTTTTTTTTTTTTTGCCATGCCCCACCTAAGCATCTCTAAAATCCTGATGCTCCTTCCCCCAGTGACATATAATTCTTATTCAAAAAGGGAACTCCTATTCATGTGGAAGAAGCCTAAAAAGCCATTAACTTGGTCTAAACAAGCTTCCAAAGAACATGGCATCCCTGAAAGAGAAAAAAAGAACAAAAGGACAGTTGAAGTACTGAGGAAGAGATCACTAAGAAATTGTTTGAAAAAATAATATGAAATAATATGAAAAAATAGCAAAGTTTCAAAACATAGGGAACCGAAATGCATAAATATGTCACAACGTATACTTATATACTGTATAAGAGGCCCCTAGAACCAAAAGAAATGCAAAAAAATCACTGTTAATTGCTCATTCTCAAATTGCTCCCCTTAAAAAATTGCCCCCCTTCCTTGGTGGGCCTGTGCCCTATGTTGGGAACCACTGTATTAGAAGGAATCAAAAGTAGATTACATAAAGCTGAAGATTGAGTCAGCAGTTTGGAAGATAAGATGGCAGAAAACACCCAATCAGAACAGCAAAAAGAATCCCAAAAAAATGAGGATAGTGTAAAGAGCCTCTGGGACAACATCAAGCATGCCAACATTCACATTATAGGGGTATCAGAAGGCGCGAGAGAGCAAGAAATTGAAAACTTATTTGAAGCAATAATAACAGAAAACTTCCCTAGCTTGGCAAAGGAAATAGGAACGCTTTTAAGCATTTTCATCTTGAATTTCCTGGACTTACCTCTCCAGCACAGAGTCCCCAGTGAGGTGAACCCAAACAGGCCAACACCAAGACACATAATGACAAAGATTAAAGACAAAGAGAGTATCTTAAAAGCAGCAAGAGAAAAGCAGCTAGTTACCCAGAAGGAAGTTACCATAAAACTGTCAGATGATTTTGCAACAAAAACTTTGCAGGCCACAGAGATGACATGAAATATTCAAAGTGATGAAAAGCAAGGACCTACAACCAACATTCTCTACCTAGCAAAACTATCATTTAAAGCAATTTAAAAACACTGTATACAATATCATGAGTTTTATAAAGCTCACATCAAGCAAGACCAAACAATATATTATTTTGGAATGTATACATATTTTGTTAAACTTTTTTTAAGTAAAAAAAAAAAAATTATACATTTTATTTTTGTGGAAGAGGCTTGGGAACAAGATAGAAAAGGGACACACACTAGCAATGTACAGAATTATCCGTGCTGTGGTGAGTATTGTAGATACTAGATCTGTTCCCTTCTACCAAATTGTATTCCTAGGATAAGTAACAGCATGGAGCCTGGACGTATCTGTGCAGTGCCCACCCCCTTGTCCAGATGCACTGCCATAATGACCAACAAAAGTAAATGAGAGGACCATTTCCCTCTAAGTCTTTGTGGTTGACCTGTTTCTTTTTCTCTCCTTCAGCATGTCATCTACTCTGTGAAATTCTTCCTGTCATATGCAATTCCAGATGTATCGAAAAGCACGAAGAGCAAGATCAAGAGAGAAAAATACCTAACCCAAAAGCTTCTTCATGAGAATCACCTCAAAGACATGACCAAAAACATGGGGGTTATAGCTGAGACCATCATGGGAGCAGCAGATAACCATTTACGACCCAAATTAGAATAAGAGCTTTATGTTCTGAGAAGCACTTTAAAGAATATTGCCTTGTCAAAAAAAGAAAAAAAGATACTATGAACCTCTGATGAAGATGCTTAAAAAGTGCCCCGTCTGCAGCAGGATGGACTTGTGTTTCCCTCTGTTTGATTGTTTTTAGGGAGTGTTTCGCTGCTTCACTTTGCCAGACCTGTGCCAGTCACCTTTCCCTCACAGTGCCATCCTTGGAGACGAGACACGCCAGCTTCTGCGTGGCTGAAAATCACTGACTCGGAGTTCGGCCTGAACGCTGTATGAAGTGGCAGATAGACTCAAGGATTCCTGACATTTAGGAGAATGATCACAGCCCTACAGACAAGGAAATCTCGGTGACCAGGAAGTAGTTTCAGTCTTCCTGGTGGCTATGTGTCCACCTCACAGGATGTGCTTCATGTCCCGGAAGGAAGGAAGACAGCGGGGTTCTGTAGGGTGCTTGTGCTAACCCACAGCGACGCCTCTTCTCTCCCAGCAGCCATCCCAGAATGTTCTGTACCAAATCCATGTTGAATGCTTTGCAGCTCAAAGGGAGTAAGGTGATAACAGTGGGGAAGGTTACAGATTGCAAATTCAATAGAATTTCATTCCTATTGATCAGGATAATTAATTTACCTTTCCTAAAGATGTATAGTTTCTTGGAGGGAATGGGGGGGAGGGGAGAGAATCAAAGACTTAAAATTACCTCTTCGAAAGATGTGTAGTTTCTTGTAAAAAAAACAAAGAAATCAAGGAATTAAAATTACATTTCTGTCAACGTAATGGTCTGGAAATGATGAGCCCATCAATTTCCCACAGTTGCCCTTTATTCACTAGCCACGGGGCGCACAGTGTTACAGATCACAAGTGCCATCTCGAATGGCCCCCTGCATGGCCACTGTGACGTGATGATGCCGAGCGTGGTTCCCAGAACACCAAGTGCCCCGACGGGGAGCCACAGTGTCCCTGTGTGGGCAGCACCTTTCGGAAAGGATCCCGTGTGTCCATGGGATCAGCATACCAAAGCCTCTGCCCTCGGTAGCTCCCTGCACCCTCCATCCTCCTGCTCCCAACTCAGTAACTTGTGTGTCATTGCATGTTGGTATCAGGAGGGGGGCGTTTGTGGGGGGCGGGGGAGGAAAATGGGAGTAAGCCCAGGTTATTCTGTCTGGGTTTGGTTTGTACCTCCAGCCTCCTTAAGGCCAGTCGGGCATGTAGGCTCTGAAAAGAAAATGGTTCATTCACAAGCCCTGCCCTCGATGTGTGCAACCAAACGGTCTTTACGGCGCTTTCCTGCCTCCCAGGAGCTAGGCCCTCTGGGGAACTCGGGAAGAGATGAGCCCACACTCCTCGCTATGGATTGGTAACGGGAGCGATGGGTGTGGGAGAAGGTGGCCAGCACCGGGTCCTCGCTAGACGGGCTGCCATCCACCGGGGTGCTGCCAAACACCCAGGTGCCACAGGAGCCAAGCCGCTCGGAGTCCCAGCAGCAAAGGAAAAGGAGCCACGTTTCAGTGTTCAGAGGCTTGGTACCAGAGGGGAGTTGAACTCCAGGTCACCGTTCTAAATACCTGCCATGAATGTTAAAAAGGTTTTTCAAAAAGCAGTATTTATGTAGGATTCCTTAAAACAGTCTCTGGACTTTTGCACTGTCCCAATGGACCAGGGACAAGATTTCACTAACTGTCTGGATAAGGCTGCTGATGTGATCAGAACCTGGCTGTGAGAAAGGAATTTCTGCCCGGGGGGGACGCTTTTGCATCCCACACCGCCTAGTGCCACTGCTCCCGGCCACTCTCCCCGCGATACTGCTCCTGAGAGCGGGGTGCTTCCTCTCGGATTACCTCTTCTCCTCCCTCAACTGTATGGCTCCCTCCTCGTGTTGGATGTGGCAGTTACTCACTGTGTATGGAAGCATGGAAAGGAAATGCTCTTGCCTTATCTCCTCGTATTTAAAATGTCTAAAGGATTATGCGTTTATGTTTCCATAAGCTGCCTTTCATACATTGTCTTCATGGTCTAAAATACGCTTCCCTGGAAGGAGGGCATAAAACCTCTACACTCTTTAAGGCCGCCAATGTGACCTATGACACTGCCAACATGGCCCAAGCAGCTCCGTGGTAGAGGGCGCCCAGGGTCGCCCAGGACACCAGCACTGGCAATGTACACCTAGTGCTGGCTTTCAAGGGTGAAGAAAAATGGGGGGCTCAGTCTGCAGCCATCGTGGCCGGGTCTGAGCGGGTGCAGGGACAGAGCCCCGGGAAGATGAGTGGGTGTGGCAGGGGGCCGGTGAGGGGGGAACTCCAGCCCTAGAGCTGCCCAGTGTTAACCACTAGAGAAATGTTCATGTCCTACCCTTTTGTGATGCCTGTGAATTTTAATAGAACGAAGCATCTGACCAAAATACTCAGGGGAGTTTTCTTTAACTATCCCTCCGATGTTTTAGTTATGTCGGTAGAGAGAAGGGGAAAGCTACCATTTGTGCTGAAAAATTAAACAAGGCCATCTTATAAACTGCCACCAAAGTCTTCCCTTGGAATTGCGCACACAACTTGAATTTCAAAAAACATGATTTCACAATGGGGGGGTGGGGGCAGAATGTGCTCTGTTATTGAAACACTTCTTATAACATTTGTCATGTTTGTGTTATATTTTAAGATGTTTAAAAAATTAAACTGAGTAGCTTAATTAGAGTAGAACGGAAATATTCGTAATGCTCTTCATACACCATGGCATAAGATGTAAAGTTTGTAATCTTTTGTGATTTCGGTGCATTTTAATATTCTTTTATAATTATGAACATTTTAATAAAATTATTGTAAAAACAGTACTGTGGTCTACTCATTTAATTGTCTTAATGTGTTTTTTTTTAAAAAGAGCAGATATACCTGCTGAGTACTAATTATCACTCAGATAACAAATGTGCACTTTATATAGATTACTTACAGACCTGGTGCACGAATTTGTGCATGGGTGGGGTCCAGCCAGCCTTCTTCAATGGGGGTCAATTAGGGCTATGCTGGGCTGGAAGAGCCCGAGGGGCAGACTGCAGGAGGTCGGTTCGCCAGTTCCACCCCCTGATAATGGAGGTGCCGATCGATCGGGGGTGGGGCCGGGGCCAGGGCCAGCTCAGGGGAGGGGCCATAGGAAGTTGCAGGGGGCCGATCAGTCCCTATCAGGCCAGTTGGCCACTGCAGTATGTGTCATAGGGACTGGTCAGCATGGAGCCTGGACATTCCAGTTCCAGTCATTGTGTCATTCTGGTTGCTTGGCTTTTATATGTAGAGATATCTAAAAAAAATTTTTTCATAGTCTGCACTTTGAAGCATGATTTTTCTGGAATAAATTGTGGGTGGAGATTCAGGCAGAGCTACTGCATACAGTTGTTGGGTTGGAACCCTGCACAGGGCACCAAGCCTGGAGACCAAGTGGGAACTGCAAACCAGCCCACCTCTCACCTCACCAGGTGGGCCAGTGTCCCACTGCACCAGCGGGAGAGGAGGTGCTTGCTCTAAATGCAGACTGACAGCTTCTGATCACCAAACCTGATGGTAGGGGCAATGTCGCCCATGGAGGGCAAGTGTCCCTGAGTCTCAGTAGGTTCTGTTTGAATGTAAAATGTCCCTGGGTGCACCCTATGTTCATAGCAGTACAATCTACAATAGCCAGAATTTGGAAACAGCCTAGGTGCCCGTCAGCAGATGATTGGATCAAAAAACCATGGTTCATCTACACAATGGAATACTATGCTGCCATAAAAAAGAAGGAATTCTCATCATTTGCAGCAACCTGGATGGAATTGGAGAACATCATGCTGAGTGAAACAAGCCAGTCAATGAAAGAGAAACACCACATGACCTCACTCATTTATGGATAATAAAGAACATTATAAACTGATGAACCAAAAGATAGATATAGAGACAAGTAAAGCAACAAGTAGACTGTCAAATTACAGCGAGGAGGGTAGGGAGATCTGGGGGAGATAATAGATCTACCGAAGGACTTGTATACATGCATATAAGTACAACCAATGGACACAAAACTCTGGGGAGAGGGTATGTATTGGGGGTGGGGGCAATGTTAAATTATGTACGCAGATAATAATTGAATAAAAAAAATGGGGGGGAAAAAATGTCCCTGAGTGCAGAAAGGGGAAATTATGGAGGATATAGGATATAAAAGTTAATCTCATAAAAATCAATATGTTTTGTTTTGTTTTGTTTTAATCCTGCACTTCCTGTTTCTATTTTTGCTTCTGAACAATATAAAACCCAGATTTTAACTCATTTCACCCTTTGGTTGTTTTTTTTTTGTTCGTTTGTTTGTTTTGTTTGTTTTTTTGACCAGCTTAAATTTCATTAGGCTTCCAATCAAACTAAGTCAAATATAGGCCATAAATGAATAAACAGGAAGAAGCTTTTTCTGATTCCTAAATAACACCTTAGGGACTGGTAATAATGCTTGAAGGGAAAAATAACATTATAAGTCCGGGAGAAGGCAATTAGAAGTTCATTTTTTAAGCACAGTACCCCCTTTTCATTTTGGTGGGGGAATGATGAGATCTAAAATACAGTAGTTCCCCTTTATCCACAGTTTTACTTTCGATCAATTTTTTGTTGTTGTTGTTGTTACTGTCAACTGGGGTCCAAAAATGTTAAATGGAGAATTCCCCAAATAAAGAATTTGTAAGACTTAAATTGAGTGCAGTTGTGAGTAATGTGATGAAATCTTACCCTACCTGGAGCATGAATCATTCCTTTGTCCAGCATATCCACTCTGTGTATGTCACCTGCCCATTAGTCACAAAGCAGATGGACTGGCGAGGTGTCACAGGGCTTGTGTTCAAGGGACCCTTATTTTACTCAATAATGGTCCCAAAGCCCAAGAGTAGTGATGCTGGCAATTCAGATATGACAAACCTTACAGTGCTTTATTTAACACGTTAAGTGCCAAGCCTGTTTTGTCTTCCTTTTCGTTAGCCCACAATATCCGATTTCACC